ATGTTCCCATTGAACTTGATGTTTATGCTTCAAGAAATAGGGGAGGAAGAAAGAGGCATTGGCATGGCCTTAATGGACTGTATTCATTTCCATGTAAATAGGAATGCAAATGGAAAGAAGAGATTCCTACCAAAAATGAAAGTCCATGGCCTTTGAAATTAAATTAAAACCAGCAGATTGTAAATGTGAAAAATCCAAATGGCAGCAGTAAACTTAAAGACAATGAAATGCATTCACAGGGCAGGTCCAACTGAATGAGCGGTTATATCAGTTATAGAATAACTCATATCCTGTATGTTGGGAGGAAACATTATATAATGCCTACAGTTACATTGGCATGAAGCTCAATGAAGAGCAAGGTAACTAAAAGTTCATATGAGTATTCTCCTTGACAAGATATTTGCAATTAGAACTGAAAGCAACTCCAGAATTAACCTCCAGTAGGAGCATGAGTTTAAACTAATCTTACAAGGTATTTCAGAAAGCATCAAGAATCATGACAAATTTTCCCATAATGTGCCATGAAGTCGCAAACTGGCAAGTCAGAAAAGTGATGATAAACATGCTGAAAATATTTTTATCCTTCCCTCCTTCCCCCAGCACACTGAATACTGTTGCCAAAATGACTTATGGAAAGACTGCAGAAGGCAGTTGGAATGACCACAGGATGAGGATGCTATTGGTGGAACTGTCAACCACATCCTAAGGACCAAGGCCATATCAGGGGAGGGACACATGGATAATGGCATGTTACCATCCCTGAACACAGTGCATACCATAGGTGCTATGCTGCATGACTTAGTCCCGCAGCCGTGTAACACACCTCTCTCCCCCAAAATCCTGTACATAAAGTAGTTTTCTGTAGCTGAATTTGAGAGCTGCTTTTCAAAACTTTGTTCTTTCTCTTTCTGGGTTCATAGCTAGACTGCATTTTTTTCAGACTCTCTGCATGTAGCTGTGATTAAACTGTTAAAGAGAGAGACAGAGAGAAAACAAAACACTAAGACTCAAAACAGGAGCACTGAGTAAAGGAGAAAAGACACTGCCTCCTCAGTAGAAGTTAAATTGTCTCCAGCCCTTAGCTTTGAAAGGGAACAATTGTACAAGCACCTGCTGGGCACAGTGCACTAAACCAGATGGTTTTTACGAGTGCACAGTAACCAAGCCCAACTGAGCAAGAAAGAAAAAAATACAGAAGGGTCTGATGCTTTCAGTCACTGAAGGCCTTCAAGTGCTGCAGAATGTCTGATCCTCAGGGCCCGAAATATCTTAAAAACGTACAACCAGAAAGAACTGTAGCTCTGAAAGTCTTGTTGAGGTGATGTTCACACACGATGTCATTTGCTGGTTTACCACACATGCAGCCATGCATTCAGTGTACTGACAGAGTTGGGCAGCATGTGTTCTCATGCAATCTAAGAATAATTCATCTCCCTCTGAGAGGGACTCTGCACTCATTAGTTCTCATTCTGTCTCCACCTCAACCCTCTGCCCTGGGAACTCACTCATCTGCTCTCAGTAACCATCACTGTGTCTATTTGGATCATTTCGTATAAATGGAATCATGCAGTAAGTGGTTTGTGACTGGCTTCTTTCAGCTGGCACCATGTTTTCAAAATCCACACGTTACTGTGTGGGTCAGCACCTCAGCCCTTGTGGAGTGATTTTCTATTGTGTGGGCGTATCACATTTTGCTTCTCTGTTATTCGTTTGTTGTGCATTTCTTTCTGCTTTTTGGCTATTACGAAAAATGCTGCTATCAACATTTGTGCACACATGCTATATGCTTATATTTCTCTTGGATTCATCCTCAGGAGTAGAATCGTTGTTGTCATCTGGCAACTCTACATTTCATTATGTGAGAAATGCCAGATTTCCAAGTGGCTGTGCCATTCCTATCAGCGAACAGGAGGACTTTAATATCTCTGTATCTTGCCAACACTTAGCATACTATGGTTTCGATTTGTGTTTCCCTAATGAAATTACATTTAATATCTTTTCTGTTGTATTTATTGGCTGTGTATGTATCTTCTTTGGAGGAGGGTCTTGCAAATCTCTTGTCCATTTTAAGATGGGGTTTTGTCTTTTTATTGTTGTGTTGCACAGCTTCTTATACATTCTGGATTCCAATCCCTTACCAGACGTACAATGTTTTCTTCTTTTGTAAAATTGGAATCTAATTCACACACACCATGAAATTTCCCACTTGTAAGGTGTACATCTGAATGGTTTTAGTATCTTTACAGTTGTGCCTTTATCAGAATCATGCATTTCCAGGGTTTTGTCACCCAAAAAGGACTTCCTTACTTTAAGCAGTGACTTTGTATTCTCCCTTCCCCTTGGGTCCTAGAAACCACCCATGTTCTCTCTATTAATGGGAATTTACCTACTCTGGGCATTTCACATAGATGGGACCATCCAATATGTGGCCTTTTGTGCTTGACTTCTTTAATTGAGAATAATATTTTCTTTCTTTTAAATCAATTATCTAGATGATTTATTTGAGAGACAGAGAGAGAATATTCAACCCACAAGTTCATTCTCCAAATGCTCACAAGGAACGACAAAGTCAGTCCCACATGGGTGGCTGGGAGCCAACCAACTGACCCATCACTGCGAGGTTCTACATTAACAGGCAGTGGAGCTGGGAACAGAGCCAGGACACAATCTCAGGCCTTCCTAGGTAGGATACAGGCATCCTAACTGATGTCCTATCTGCTAGGTCAGGTGTTTGCCCACAGTGTCATAGTATCCAGATTCATCTACACTGTAAGATGTGCCATCCTTGCTGAATAATATTCCATTGTATGGATATGCATTTTGCTTATCTAGTAATTAGATACTTTCCACCAAGAAGTTCATGCACAACTACTGCCCAGAATGATTTAGAATGCCCACATTTGGGTAAAATTGCACTCTTTAGTAAAATGGAACCTAATATCTACAGTGTTTCTTTTTTATCTACAGTGTTTTTAAGAGACTTTTAGATCTATATGGGATGCTAGGAAGTCAGAGCTGGGAGCTTGGGAAAAGATCATTACAGCCTCTATTTTTGTTTTCTTACTTAAAAAAAAAATAGCAATCAGTACCACCAATAGTCTTGTGAAAGTTGTAGACTCAGGGACCAGGGGAGAAAGCAGAGAAAGCCCCAGTGCAGGTGCTGATCAAAATGGATGTGCTGGGACAGGTGTGAGATTTTACAACTCTCCTCCCAGGCGGTGTGAGTCCTTTGAGGCAAAATGTTTTCAATGTCCAGCTTACTATAACTTCCTTTTGTCACTTGTAATTTGGGGTTTTGTGTGAAGATTTACTTCTGTGCTTTCTTTCAAGCCTTTTTTTTTTTTTTTTTATGACATCTGTGTATTGCATGGTAGCCGGAAAGAACAAAACATAATGATGTGTGAACTACTCTCTAAAATATCTTTCCTCTCCTCATGAATGACTTTTAGGCTTTTCAAACACATATCATTATAGTCTTTGATCCATTTTGAGTCAATTTCTCTATATGGTGTGAGACAAGAGTTCAACCTAAACTTTTTCTGAGAGAGTGAACAAACGTGAATATACACTCCCGTCTGTTGGTTCACTCTGCCAGTGTCCACAATGGCCGGGAAGTGGGCCAGATCAAAGCCAAAGGCTGGAACCCAAACATGGGCTCTCCGAGTGGGCAGGAATCCTAGCCCTTGAGCCATCACCACTGCCTCCCAAGGACTAGAAGGAGCAGGAACTGCAGTCAGGAGCCAGAGCCAGACCTTGAACTCAGGCATTCCTGCTAGGCCAAAGCCTGCTCTCCCGTTTCTCCTTTTGCATATGGATAGTTAGTAATCCAAGAATCATTTGTTGAAAAGACTATTCTTCCTGCCACTTGGATGGCAGATGAAAGAATTTCTGAACTCTTATTTTATTGCATTGTTCTATGCCTAGTTTTATGACCCAGAGTACTACTAAGAAGAGATTAGGGATTTCTTGTTCAAAGTTGCCTCACCTTCACGGCCACAGTTGCTTTTTCAGTGAGTCTTGGATTCTGCAGCTAACTCTCCAGAAGTGATCAATGGTCTGCCCATCTAAGAACGGGAAGATAAATGAGATGAAATTGATTCGTGCAAGTTTCGGAAAAAAGTGGAGACATCCTGGAGTGTGATACCATGGGCGCAAGAAGCAGGCTCGCTCACTCGCAGCAGCGTTAGGTAGAGTGGTACCCTCCTGCCCCTCAGGGACAGGCACTCACAAATACCCTCCATGAAGTTGGGGAACAGAAGCTGCTACTTTTGGAAAAGTCACAGAAAAGCCTGCGCCCTCCACGATTTATAGCCTCTTCCAAGATAGAACGAACACGTCGCGTTTTTACTACAAGGGTGGAGAAAGGAGTAGCGCAGGCCTAGGTGGCTCTGGCTGGAGCCTGCAGGCCTCGGGAACGCCTCCCTGACTAGAGGCACGCCCAGGTATGGTTGGCTCCGCGCGGCCAAGTGAGGTCCCCAGCGCGCTCGAACCCGAGTCACTGCTCTCTCCCCGGCTCTCCAGCTGCGCCTCGGCATTCCTCTCCACGCACGCGGCTGGCCCCGTTTCAACGCAGGCATCACTTACCCCGAGTTTGCACCTGTTCCCACGTACCCCACGTGTCCGGTCCGCGCCGGGGAGATGGAGGGGTCCGGCAAGCGTGTCAGGCACGTCTGCGGAGGTGGCGGGCGCCCGAGAGTCCCCAGGGCTCTGGCAGAAGCAGCGGGGCACACGCAGCACCGGGACAAGAAACGCCCGCGGCGGCTCAGCGCTCACAGGTGGTGCCGGGCCTGGGCAGGCCGGGTTGGGCGTGGTGGGAAGAGGCGCACGGCGGCCGCCCCACCCCGCCGCGGCTCCACACGTGGGCCAGAGGGCGGCAGGAAGGACGGCTGGTGGAGGACTCGGCCAGGGGTCTTGGGGGCGCGGCCGCAAGCTCCGGGGCACTCCGCGGCGGGGTCTCGGCCGCGCGGCTTTCCTAGAAGGCGCCGCTCCACGCCGCGGCCATGGCCTCCCTGGGGAGAGAAATCGTCCTGGAGACCCTCTTGGGTAAGTGGACGCCGCCCCGCCGTGCGCTCGTGGGCGCTAGCTGCCCTAGCCCGGTCTCGGCCGGGTCGGCTGTGTTCCCGGAGCAAGAAAAACACGTCCGTGCCCAGAGTGGTGATGCTTATCATCCCCTGGGAACTTCAGTTACCTAAGGGAATCAGAAAAGATCGTGACACCTGCCGGAGACGTTGCCCCTCGATCTCGAGGTTCCCCAGGCTGTCTGCCTTGAATCTGCGCGGCTAACACGCAAAAGCCTGAACGGGCACTGGCTTCTCTCCTCTGGGGCGGCCGCTCTCAGCCTTGGGCCAGCAAGGTGGCCCTAGTGGCGACTGCACACTTGGCCACTGGGCCTAAAACACGAAGAAGCCTTTTATTTACTTACCAGCTTTGCGGTGCCCCTGGTAATTAGCGGTGTTAATTCTGTAGGAGCGGTCGCTTTCCAGCTGGGGTTGCCGGAATCCCCACTGCCCATGATGAGCCAACAAAGTTTGTTAATTTCTTTAAGTTGTGAGCTGGATTCACAAAGTGGAGTGTGAGCCTCTTTCCTGGAATGTGAGTTTCTGGGAGCAGGTAATTCTCAGCTCGGACTCGGATGGCGTTTTTTGTTTTTTGTTTTTTTTCCCTGGCTCAGCCTGTGTCTTAAAAGTTGGGAGATAATAAAGACCATTGACTGTCAATAGGCTCTCTTGGTGTTAGACGTCCTGTAGATTTGATCTCAGTCTTACAGCTCTGTCCAGTTGGTTGCAAGGTCTGTTTCACTGATTCAGAAAGGGAGTTTGGGAAGAAACCCAGGAGAAAGTTGTCGGGCAGGTGGTTTGAGGGCTCCAAATGGCTCAGGCATCAGTTTGCCCCACTACTGAGCTCTTAGGCAGTGGCTGCAGCTGCTGTCTTGTTCAGTCAGTTGGTTGGCCTGTGTTCTTGTTTCGCTTGCTTGATTGAACATTTGTGTGAGAGAAGGGCAGAAACAGTGTCATCTTCACGTGTCTTGGGATTGTGTGAGGAGAGGTGATGTGTGTTGATACCAGCACAAAGCCTGCCTGTGCCCACAGGGGCTAATTATGGTTGCACAAGACTGCCCAGTCCAGTCGTTGGCAGAGGTGCAACTGACTGCGGATCAGGGCGTTCCACTCCCCTGGCTCTGCCTCCTAAGGGTTGGGTGGGTCTGCGTCACTGGAACCTGACTGCAGCTCAAGTCAAGTGCTTTTTGATGCCATCTGTGGTGGGAGGAGGCATGGCGTGCTGCTGGAGGTGCCTCCTGAGCTTGGTAGTTTCTCATCATGAATGATACAACCGAGTTAAGGGAAGATGACCCAGTGGGGTCCTAACAGGAAGCCACTGAAGGGAGGCCTTGCTGAAGGGACTTGATTAAAGGAGGTAAATAAAGGCTGCAGGGAGAACAGCAGAAGCCACTCCCAGCCCCAGTGAAATGGGGAGGAGGCAGGGCTACTGCTAGAAACAACCAGAGTGAACGCCATTTCTCTCTTTACATTTTTTATAGGATATGTTTCCTGGTCTCTGTATCAAGATTTGGGACCGATGATCTACTACTTTCCCTTGCAAACACTAGAGCTCACTGGGTTTGAAGGGTTCAGTGTAGCTGTCCTTGCTCCAGTGTTCCTGACCCTTGCCTCTGTCTGGACCTTGGTTAACAAGAAATGGGTATTATCTCTGCTGCGGATAATTACTGTGGGTAAGATTGCAACAACATTTCTTTCACATTTGCTTTAAAGTGAATACAGGAAGTTAAATGGTGCAAACGGTCCTTTGAATGCTAAATGATTGAACCAAAAAATGAAAGATCTGTCTTTATATTAGTAGAGAAATTTTAGTAAAAATAATAGAACACTAGATTGAATCTATGTTTTCTGTGTTTTAAAGTTTCTGCCTAAAAAAAAAAATCACTGAAATGAAGAAGGGTACTGTGCCTTAGGGAACTGTTTATTCTTTTTTCCCACATTTGTTTGTTTGTTTGTTTGAGAGTTGCAAGGAGAGAGGGAGAGTCAGATCAATCTCCCATCTGCTGGTTCACTCTCCAGAGAGCCACTATTAGCCAGTGCTGGGCCGAACCAAAGCCAGGAGCCAGGAACTTCTCAGATCTCCCACATGGGTTCAAGGGCCTAAGCTCTTGGAGCATCTTCTGCTGCTTTTCCCAGGCTACCAACAGGAAACTGGATCAGAAGTGGAACAGCTGGACACATACCAGCTCCCATATAGGATGCCAGTGTTGTGGGCAATGGCTTTACCAGCTATGCCACAATGCCACAATCTCCATTTTTTGGTATCATAATTTATTTACTTATTTAAAAAGGCAGTGTGACATAGAGGGAAAGGGAGAGAGGGAGGGAGAAGAAAGAGAGAGAGAACAAGTGAGTGAGCTTCAATTTGTTGGTTCAGTGCTCAGATGCCTGCGACAGCTAGGGCTGGAGCGGGATGAAATTAGGATCCTGAAATTCCATCCATGTCTGCCTGTGGGTGGGAGGAACCCAAGTAGTAGGGCCATTAGCTGCTTCCTCCCAGGGCACACAGTACCAGGAAGTGCACCTATTCCAAATGGAGTGTAGGCATCCCAAGAAGTGACTTAGCGCATTGTACCATAGGGCCCACCCTCAGCTCTTGAATATATTGTGTTCTTCTTTCCAGTTGTGACATGATACTCATAGACACCATAACAAAATTATTACCTCATGAATGTGAAAATTGTGCATGACAGTTAGCATAATTGAAGAACGCCTACAGACCAGGTATAAAGAAGGTCCACAACTCCATCAAAAGGGGGCAAAAGGTATCACCAGTTTGTTGAAAAAGAAATACAATTAGTTCTAAAGAATACAATAAAATGTGTAGAATGCATATTATGCACATATGTGTGATCTCACAAACAGACCAGCAAAGAACCAAACCTAACTTTGGTATGTGGGAATGGAAATTGACATAAGCTCTGCGGAGCGTAACTTACCAGTTTTCATGAAAATGATAAATATGAACAAAATATTTCACCTCATATTTCCACTTCTAGTCACACAGTCTATAGATATGCTAACACATGTTTAAAACAGTAAACATGCAAGATTATTAATTATTGCAGGAACATTTATAAGAAGCCTAGATGTCATCTTTCTTGCTTGCTTTTTGTTGAAGTTTTTTTTAGAAGAATTAAAAAAATATATTTTGAAAGATAGTTACAGGGAAAGAAAAAGATAACAAGATCTTGCATCTCTTGGTTCAGAACCCAAATGGCTACAAGGGTTGGGGTTTGCCTAGGCTGAGGCCAGGGATCAGAGGCTTCTTCAGAGTCTCCTGCGTGGGAACAGGACTCTAAGCACTTGGCCCATCTTCTACTACTTTCTCAGGTGCGTTATCTAGGGATCTGGATTGGAAGTGGAATAGGTGGGGATTGAATGGGTTCCATTATGGGATGAAGGCTTTGCAGACAGCAACTTAACCTGTAAACCTCAACACTGGTCAACGTCATCTTTCAGGGGTAGGTTGATTACATTTGGCTTTGAAACTTGAATCACTATAGAATACTATGCAGTTCTTTTAAAAGAGTGAGAATATTATTTGTGTAATAAGGTAGATATTCTTTAACATATTAAGTGAAAAAGTAATACATTATTGAACAGGGCATGTGAAATGCTAATATTTGTTGAAAAAAGTTCAAATGGAAATATATTTGGCATTTTGTTAAAGATTCAATATTTTTGTTTTTTTAGCACATATAATAATGTTTTTTCAATAAATGTTTGTAAAGGATAAAAAAACATTTAAAAAATCAGTTATTTATTTGAAAAGTAGAGTTACAGAGAGAAGTAGAGGCAGATAAAGAGAGATCTGTTGGTTCACTCCCTACATGGCTACAGCGGCCAGGGCTGAGATGGGTCGAAGCCAGGAGCCAGGCACTTATCCAGATCTTACACCTGAGTGTTAGGGGTTGCCCTCCACAGCTTTCTTAGCACCATTAGCAGGTAAGCAGCTTGAAAGTGGAGCAGCTAGGACTTGAACCAGTGCCCATAGCAGATACTGGCTTTGCAGGCAATAGCTTAACCCATTCCACCACAAGGCTGGCCCCAAGACAGTATCATAGTTGCTGCTTGGGTGAAGTACCTGTAAAACCTAAAGAGAGATACAGAGGAAAAACTTTGCACTGGATATCTTTTATGCTTTTGGAATTCTGAATTTAAATATATTATAGTAGCAAAAAACCAAAAACAAAATTTCACTCTATACTCACTATCACAAAAGATAGAGATTTTTATTATTAACCCACACTAAGAAACCTTAGAGAAGTATGGGCAGTAATGAAGTGAGGAGATAAGGCTATAGAGACTAGACCTCAAAGGTAAAACACCTGGGCCCCAGCTTGGTGAGGCCATCGTTGGAAACTCTGAACTTCTCGTATTGCTCCAACTTAGTTTCTCTGTTTTTAAGTAGCTTTCATTCCTCAGCCACACTGTGTAGTTCTGTCTAGAGATGGTCACTTTTGCAGAAGCAGTGCCCGGAAGTCACTGGGCAATGGCGGGCTGTTTTCTGTCTGTTAGGCCCAGAAGAAAGCAGAACACAGTACTGTGAGCACCATGGTTCCTCACGAGGGTGCAAAGCTCTTGTTTTCAAAAGAACTCAGGCTCACAAAGAATAGTGGGAGAGGCTCCAGAAAATTGTGCCTGTTGGCCTGGAGCCATGTCTTAATAGGCTAATCCTCCTGTGGCTCTGGCATCCCATATTCCTATCTAGCTCCCTGCTTATGGCCTGAGAAAGCAGTGGAGGAGGGTTCAGCATTTTCCTAGGAGCATTACTGAGCCCTGGACTGCTCAGGTCCTTGTTTCTGGGAGTGATTGCATCAGCGGCACCTGTTGATGGCCTTTGCTGGGTGCTGCTTGTGTGGGCTCTGCCTACAAGGCCACCAGCTAAGCTGTTACTGGGAAGCTTTTCATGTGAGAAGTCCAACTCTGGCTCTGCAGCTTCTGGTAGCCATCAGGGTTATGACGTAACATATGTCTAAGGTGGGTATGGTGGATGTCTCTTGTTTCCCTGGTACCATCTTCATCTGTACACCTTTTCATTAGGAATGAAAGTGGGTTTCTATCTGAGAAAGCAGGGTCAGAGATGGAAGAGACCAGTCACTGGCATGTTAGCTTCCAAGCAGCTGCTGACCTTTGCTAATGCTACACAGCAGATGATGGAAGCCATGGTTGCATTAAAACTCGCTTCAGATAATTCTTGGGACATGAAATAACTTTGTGTTATATACTATCTTTCCTCTGGCACCTCAAATATTCTAGAATAATTACTATGTAGTAAATATGAATCTAATTCATATGCCCATCAATTTAGATTATTTTTGATCCACTAAGCTGGCTATAATGGCCTGGGAAAGCAGTCGAGGATTGGCCCAAGGCCTTAGGACCCTGCACCTGCATGGCAGACTGGGAGGAAACTCCTGGCTCCTGGCTTTGGATTGCCTCAGCTCCAGCCATTGCGACTGCTTGAGGAGTGAACCCTCAGGCTGAAGGTCTTCCTCTCTGTCTCTCCTCCTCTCTGTGTGTCTGTCTTTCCAATAGAGATAAACAAATTTTTTTTAAAAATATGGACAATAACAAGTGTTAACAAGGACACAGAGAAATTGGAACTTTTATGTGTTGCTGGTTGAAACATAAGGCTAATGAAATGATATAGCTGTTTTGAGAGACAGTTTGTCAGTTTTTCAGCATTTTAAAGAGTTACCATAGGAACCAATCACTGCACTCCTGGGTTGACACCCAAGAAAACAAAAACTGTGTCTACACAGAAACTTGTACATAAATGCTCATAGAAGTATAATCATAGGTCCATGAGCTCTGGGGGCAGGGGGGTCCAGTGGGACCTGTGTCCTTGGGCCTGCTGGTATGATGGGTGCTAGGTCCATGAGCCCCTGGGTTGAAAGGTCTGACGGGGCTCAGGTTGCCTGGCCCAGGTCCTTGGATCTGCCTGTGAGGTGGGTGCCACATCCATGAGCCCCAGGGGCAGGGAGCTTGGTGGGGTCCTGGTCATCTGGCCCAGGTCCTTGGGCCTACCTGTAAGGTGGGTGCTGGAACTGTGAGCTCTAGGGACAGGGGGTCTGGGGCACCTGGGTTGCCTGGCTTAGATCCTGGATCCACTTGAGTGGTGGATGCTTGGTCCATGAGCAGGAGGTTTGGCGAGGTCTGGTTGTCTGGCCTGGGTCCTTGGACCTGCCTCCTAGGTGGGTGCTGGAATTGTGAGTCCCTAGGGAGGGGGTCTGGGGGACCTGAGTCACCTGGGCCCACCCATGTGATGGATGCCAGGTCTGTTAACCCCTGGCGGCCCGGGGTGGGGTCCATTAGGGCTCAGGTCGCCTGGCCCAGTCCTTGGCCTGCCTGTGCTGTGGGTGCTGGATTTGTGAATCCAGAGGCAGGGGATCTAGAGAGACCCAGGTTCCCTGCCCGGGTCCTTGGACCCATCCTCTAGGTGAGTGCTGGGTCCGTGAGCCATGAGGGCAGGGGGTCCAGTGGGGCCCAGGTCACCTGGCATGGGTTCTTGGGCCCACCTGTGAGAACTGGTCCTCCACAGTAGAAAAAACATAGTAGACATCAGGCCTTAATGCTCATAGAGGCCTTTGCAGCCCATTGGGGCCTGCAGAGGACTTCTGATACCAAAGCAGAGGAAAGAAAACCACAAATTGGACAACTATCCCAGCGAATGATGACAGCAAATATCTGGGTGAATGGAGACTCTAAGGTTCACTGTGTCAACCAATGGACATTGGAAGGGTTTCCTCTTCCTTGGATCAGTGAGATTGATAGCATTTCAGAGCTGTTACAACCACCTGGGCAGAACCCTCGGGGTGTGTGGTACATCAGGATCCTGGGTGGGTATCGAGTGGCTGTTTCCCATCCCTGGCTACTGGGCGATTGGGAGGCTGAGTATGGCTTTTCCTCTTATTTCTACCCTACTCCATCCCCCAAAACAGGAAGAAGAAATAGAAAATTTAGAAACAATGATCACACCCACTTTCTCCTAACCCTTGATCCTTCCCAAGATGAGCAACTATGTAAACATCTAATTTTTTTTTTAAAAAAACACTATTCATAAAAGCAAGAAAAAAAAAGCGTGTGGGAGGGGGAACAACCTGATTGGGTATCAGTCAAAGAATTGCAGTCTATGCATCCAGTGGAATATTTTTTAGCCATGAAAAGAAATGAAATACTGATATGTGCCACATCATAGATAAACCTTGGAAATGTTATGCTAAGGGAAAGAAGGCAGTCACAAAAGGCCTTGTAGTATTCTGTTTATATTAAATGCTCAGCATAGGAAAACTCCATAGGGACAAGAAGATTAGTGATTGACAGGCTGGTTGCTGGGAGGAGAGGGCATGGGGAGTCTCTAGTGGGTATGGGGTTTATTTGGGGGAGGGTGATAAAATTTGTCTGGAATTAGATACCGGTAAAGTTGTATAGCTTTAATAAACAGGCCAAAAACTATTGGGTTGAGTTGAACAAAATGGTACTTTTAAACTCTCTTTGGGTGTAAAGATGGTGTGAGACCCAAGATTTGGCAAATGTAGATGGAGTGCCAGTGTATGCTTGCTGGGATATTCAGTTCTCTCTCTGTTTATAGGCAGCCTAGCCTCCTTCCAGGCTCCCAACGCCAACCTCCGGCTGGTGATCCTTGCACTCGGTGTGTCATCCTCGTTGTTGGTGCAAGCTGTGACTTGGTGGTCGGGAAGTGCTTTGCAAAGGTATGGTTCTTATCTTATGCTCCTGCAGACACACAAGCACACTTGCCAATGGGACACACTGGGCCAGGAGTTTCAAGCTGTTGCTTTTCATTATCCACATGGCCTTGTGGAATGCACCTTCTTATCCTTTCCACCAAAGCAGGGCATGATTATTTGCCATCAATCTTGAAAATGCTGTCAGCATTCAAGAAGTATAACAAGTTACCCAGTGGGCTAGGCAAAGGCTAAATCAAATGCATTGTTGAGAACTGCCATCTGGACTATTTCTGCTACTCATCCTATGAGACCTTAAAATTCACAGGGGACACAGTATATTGAATTCACTTTAAAAATACTTTCACACTTACAGGTATCACAGGCTCTGGGGATTCATTTTAGGGCAGATTCTTCTCCTGGTGCTCCGTATATGGTACACTTCACTCAACCCAGTCTGGAGTTACCAAACATCCAACAAAGTGATCCTGGCATTAAGTACCATAGCCACACTGGATCGCATTGGTACAGGTAAGAATGTGCCCAGGTAATTTGACACATTTTCTCACATGGATTTTACTTTTCCCATACAAAAGTGCACATCTTAAAAAGGAAATCTGCCTGACAGCTCCATCTTAGTTTTCCTCCTCTGAAATAGTAAATGGAACAACAAGGGGGGATTAGTTTCTGGCAGAAGGCACTCTTTCTTTGTCAGTAGAAACGAGGCATGAGAAGAAAGAACCACTTTTGGCTTGAATCACTGGGTCTCTGTAGGATACCATGAAAAGAAAGAATCATCACTGGGTCCTTACAGGCTGCTGGGACCAGGCAGGCCTCACAGGTGCAGTTCTTGCTCAGCTCCCTTCTACTTCCTCGACCAGGCTCTCTGGATTGGGACTATCCATCCTCCACCTGCACGCTGACCCCAACTCTTCCCCAGCTCTACACTGGTTCCTGTGATCTCTGGCCATGGGAACTACACGATCTCTCTATTCCTCCTTCTTCTCCTGGGAATCTAATTATGATGGTTTGAAGCCTGGAAAGTAAAGAGACACCTTGCACATTGACATTACCTTTAACATGTTCCGTGTCTTTTTTGGGCCAATGTTCTCTGAGACCTACATACACCCGACCTAGATGTTTCCTTATGGGCTACACTGACTCTTCTAAAAAGAAGGGAGAGGTGTTACTGCTTTTCTGTTGACTTGCTCCTGACTGTTTATATAACTCTCAGTGAGTCACTGTTGTTTTGTGAGCACAAGAGAGGAATCCTACAAATCAATGGAAGTTTATAGAGTATTTGCCCCTATGATGTAAATGCTGGTATAGAACTACTTTAGCTCCAGTTGTGTTATTTTTAGTATTTATTTAGAAAGGCAGTTTTTACAGAGAGAGAAAGAAAGAGAGGCTTTCTGTCCACTAGTTCTCTCCCTAATGGCCACAATGGCCAAAGCCAATCTGAAGCTAGGAGCCACTTCCAGGTCTCCCACATGGGTGCAGGGACCCAAGAACTTGAGCCATTCTCCATTGCTTTTCCAGACCATAAGCAGGGAGCTGGATTGAAAGTGGAACAGCAGGAACAGGAACTGCTACCCATGTGGGATGTTAGCACTTCAGGTGGAGAATTAACCCCATCCAGCCCCAGTTTTGGAATGGAAAAATGTGAGTTGGGAGAATTTATGCAAGGAAAGTAGCTTCATAACATTAAAATGAGTTGGAGAATGTAGAACTCAGTCTATTCTTTAATTTAAATTTTGTGTTTCAATAAAAACAATAACATTGGCCCTGGTACGGTGGCCTAGGGCTGAAGTCCTCACCTTGAACTTGTGGGGATCCCATATGGGTGCCGATTCTAATCTTGGCAGCCCTGCTTCCCATCCAGCTTCCTGCTTGTGGCCTGGGAAGGCAGTCGAGGATGGCCCAGTGCCAGAGTCCAGCTCGAGCCGAGTTCGGAGTTCGGGAAGGGTGCATCGAGTCGGCGATAAAGAAAGACACAGACACAGACACTTGGTGCGTTTTCACAACAACTCAAGAAAAGGCTGTCCTTTTTATTTACTGAGACACTTCACAAGCTTCTGCACAAGCAACTAATTATTCTATTTTTACTTCAAGACTAAGGGGCCATGTACAGACATTTGGTCACTCCGTCTGCATTTCAAGGCTAAGCAGGTGCCCCTAAAGATAATTTTGCAAAATACTGTATTCATATTCTTCAAAGCAAACCATTATTTATTCCTCAACAGTAGCCATGGAGTAACAGCCAGGACTCGAAGGCCAAAGCACATGCGATTACCTGCTAATCAGTAGTACATCCCTACCACATTTTTATTTCTACAATTTACCCATTATTTAATGGGAAAATAGGTTACAAGGGAAAATCCTAAAATCTAAAACAGAAATTTCAAATGTTAAATCTCCCTACAACTATAGATTTTACAACCCCATAAACAATGAAACAATAATCAAAAGCATTTTTTGTTAATAAAAGCATCCTTAATTCCTCTAGCTAAAAATTATAAAAGCAGCTAAAACAATTACATTTTCTAGGCTCCAAAAAATTGCCAAGACAGGCTAGTCTTTGAGATAACAATGTCTTTATTTATTGCCATAGCAGTTTCAGCTCTCACTCCCATTACTTTGTAAAATTCTTATTAAGCCATTTCCCAGAAGGCATGCTATATATCTGGGCCCAATTTCAGGGCAATGGGTAGGTACACAATAAGGTGTTCAGAAATGGCATGAGTTTAATTGTACTCCAGTGCGCAGTAAAGGCCCACTCACCAAGACATTATCAGTAACATTAACTCTCAAGTTCACGTTGGTGGTAAAAGCCATCCCACAGGGGCAAACAATGCCTCAACAGATTACAAAATTCTTAGTGGGGTGCTTGAGTTTCTATGCAAAAAGGTGATGAAACTGTGTCAAGGTGGTCAAAGAGAAATCTGCTGGGCCTTGCCTAACAGCTGGAAACTCCCCCGGGGCCTTGCCACACAGGGGAGCTGTTCTCTTCACACCTTCGTGCCATCCACACCCACTGCATGGACCCCAGCAGCCCAAAGCCTTGGGACCCTGCCCGCGCATGTGCGAGACCCCGAGGAGCTCCTGGCTCCTGACTCCTGGCTCCTAGCTCCTGGCTACGGATTGGTGCAGCTCTGGCTGTTGCAGTCACTTGGGGAGTGAATCATTGGACTGAAGATCTTCCTCTCTGTCTCTCCTTCTCTCTATATATCTGACTTTGCAATAAAATAAATAAATCACATCTAGAGGTGGAAACTTGGCACCTACATTTCTCCTGGTAAAGATAAAAACTTCAGAGTTTTGTTTATAATTCCTGACTCAAATTTTCTTTCATCTCTGAAGTCTCTATGACCTAGTTGCTGGCTCTCCATCCACACCTCTGTTTCTGTCTGGACCTTCTTTTCCAAAACTGACCCAAGTATTGGAACATAGCAAGTGCTAGCGTCTCTGTGTGTGTGTGTTTAATAGTTTTGTTAGAAGACTTGTTGCCTGTCTAGGGAGAAGTCACCACACTAGAACACTGTGTTTAACTCAGGCAGTTCAGATTAGATACCTCTCTTCTCCAAAGATGCTCTGCCTATCTTCAGATTTCTGGCCTCCCCTCCGTCTCCATCACCCTCTCCTGCCCTAACCCCACCCTCATAGTTGTCAGCTCTGCACCTCCTTCTTCTGTCAGAGTAACTTTTTGCCTCATTATTAAACCCAGCACCCAACTGCACAGGCAGACACCCAAGGCTCCCTTCTGTCCCACAGAGGACTTCACAGTGTCACAAAGCAGACATGCAACCGGTTCTCTCTGATATTTTATCTTTTTTTAATGATTTTATTTTTATTTGAAAGGGGGAATTTACAGGGAGAAGAAAAGGGAGAGAGGAAGGAAGGGGGAGACAGAAAGAGAGAGAGAATGGGAGTCTTCTACTGCTTCATTCCCCAAAAGGTCACAGTGGGCAGAGCTGAGCCAACAGGAGCCAGGAGCTTCTTCTGAGTCTCCTATGTGGGTGGCCAGGTCCCAAGAACTTGAGCCATCTTCTACTGCTTTCCTAGGCTACAAGCAGGGAGCTGGATGAAAAGTGGAGTGGCCAGGATACAAGCTAGCACCTATATGGGATGCCAGCTTAACCTGAAACGTCACCACATGGACCTCTCATTCGGTTCTTGTGAAGAGAATTCTCCTGCTGGCATATGCTCCAGCTGTGACATGCTTGTGTGTGACGTCATGTATGGCTTGGGGCCTCTTGGTTTAACATGGCTGTGAAGTGGAGGACAGTCAAGGAGCCACTCTGGGTCAGTTTGAATCCCAGTGTCTATTAGCTGTGTGACCTTGGACAAGTCACTCGATGGCTCTGAGCATATTTTCTGATCTGTAACAAGAGATTAATAATGGATCATATATCATTAGGTTGTGAAAATTGAATGAGTTAGCATAAAGGGCTTGGAGCAGGGGTTGGTATACAGTCCTGTTCAGCCGTGAAAGTGCTGGGTATACTATGGGAGTGGGGACCTTGTTCTCCTGAGCAGGAGTCTGGTGTCCTAGAAAATGTTCCACTCGAACTGCCTGCACCTGCTCCCCGAACATGTTGATTACTTCTGTCTGATATATTTTTGCTCATACTGTCAACTTCACATGAAATCAATTCCTCTTCATTTTCAGTGGTCAAATTCCAAAATGCTTGTTCTCCAAAAGCCATTGCACGTAGCCCACCTGTGGTCCTTTCTCATACTGAGCCACTATCGGCACGTTCTGCGTGCAATTGAAGTTGCATGCCATAGCCCCTTCTGAAGCCAGTTCCTTGAAGCCAGCCACAATGGTCTCCTTGCTAGAAGTCTGTTAACAATAGTGGGCAAATTTCCCTACAATTGAATTTTCTAATTTTTATTTTTATTTTAAATTCTAGATGGTGACTATAGTAAACCTGAAGGAAGGAAGACCCGCAAGGCAGTCAAGGGGGAGGCCTCCAGATCCAACTGGGTGTTGGCAGGGGCTGCCTTTGGTAGCCTTATGTTCCTCACTCACTGGGTTTTTGGGGAAGTCTCTCTTGTTTCCAGATGGGCAGTGAGTGGTCATCCCAATACAGGACCAGACCCTAACCCATTTGGGTGAGTTTGGGTTGGGAAGAAATCAAGAATTCAGCAGTTAGGGCTGGAGAAAGAAACATATCCTTTGCTGGACACTAGTTCTGTGTTAGCTAGACTATTCCCCCTCCCATTCTCCCTAGAGAGTAGAAGCATTAAAGGAGATTACTCTGTGCTTCCTGGGCTTGTCCCTGTGAGAAAGGGTGGCTGGAAAAAAAGCTGGTGGGGGGTCACAGCTGGGCACAACTAAGAGGTTCTTGGTGTTCCTGCATGGTCACTCTGAGGAACCCACATAATGGAGGCTTTTGTGAGGGCAGGGAAGGTCTGGCACTGCCTGGCCATGTCCATCAGACCCTCTGGTCACAGTTTTGGGCATTTGGCGCACACACAACCATGGTGCCTTAATGAGAAAATGCTTTCTCTCCCTGTATTCTCTACAAGATGGAGATAATAATGGCCTTTGCTTGCTGATTTGAGAGGATAATAATCCAAGTAAGGGGTGGGCAGTTGGCACACCGGTTAAGATGTGGCTGTGATACTTGTATCCTATGTAAGAGTGCCTGTTTTCAGTCCTGACTCTGCTTCCCATTCCAGCTACCTGCTAATAATGCTCACTCGCCCTTAGAGGCACAAGGTGAAGGTTCTAGTGCTTGGGTCTCTGTCACCCATGTGTGAGACACGGGTGAGTCCTTGGCTCTTGCCTTTGGGCTCTGCCAGCCTTGGGAGAATGAAGCAGTGCCTGACAGATCTGTGTCTGCTACCTTTCAAATAAAACAGAAGTATAATTAAATACAACTAATAATACAGATTAAGTCTTAAACCAGTGTGTTTAAACAGTAAGTGCTGTATTTTTAACATACTAAAAACTTCATGAATTCTGGATTTTTAAGCTTACTTTGTATTACAGCTACTGAGTGAATGTCACTATTGTAGTTACTCTTGCGGCTGATTTCTGCCTTAAGTTTAATTTTTTCCTTCTTCTCTCAAGTTTTGCACAATAGCAGAATGAAGTATTTTGTGATTTTTTTTTTTAGATTTTTATTTTTATTATTTATTTATTGGAAAGGTGGATATACAGAGAGGAGGAGAGACAGAGAGGAAGATCTTCCATCTGATGATTCACTCCCCAAGTGAGCGCAACGGGCCGATACTATGCCGATCCGAAGCCAGGAGCCTCTTCCGGGTCTCCCACGCGGGTGCAGGGTCCCAAAGCTTTGGGCCGTCCTTGACTGCTTTCCCAGGCCACAGGTAGGGAGCTGGAAGGGAATCGGGGCTGCCGGGATTAGAACCGGCACCCATATGGGATCCCGGGCGTGCAAGGCGAGGACCTTTAACCACTTGCGCCACTGCGCTGGGCCCTGTGATTATTTTTTAAAAGCCATACAACTATCAGTCATTTTTCAAACTGATGGTGGGCTCAGGAAAGCAGACTAGAGAACAGTATGGAGTCGTAGCGAAAAAAAAGAAAAAAAGACAAACTAGAACAAACTCTGACTTTCTCATTTTGCCTTTGAGAGAGTGGTTTAAAGCGCCATGTGCCCCTTATGAACTAGAATCCAGTAGACGGATATTTACATTGTCTAAGGAAGACCGCACATATCATTTATGCCAGGTTTTTGTGACTCTAGTGTCCTGACGGTGTGTCATCCTGGTTCCCAGTGTGCTCTCATGATCTCATTGGACCTTTTTTTTCACATTACGTCATTTAAAAAGAGACTTATTTATTTAGAAAGTCAGAGCTACAGAAAGAGAGAGACAAAGAAATATCTTCCTTCCAGTGGTTTATTCCCCAGGTGGCTACAACGGTCAGCACTGAGCCAGGCTGAAGCCAGGAGCCAGGAGCTTCATCTAAGTCACTCACATGGGTGACAGAGGCCTAGGTAATTGGGCCATCATTTGCTTTTCACAGGTACATTAGCAGGGAGCTGGATCACGGTAAAGCAGCTGGGAGGTAAACTGACACCCAAATGGGATGCCAGCATTGTAAGTGTTGGCTTTACCTGCTACTGGCCCCAACATTGTCTCTTAAGTGTACCTAGTAAAAGGAGGTACATTTCTGTTTTATGTCATATGGGGCAATGAAATATTAATAACATTGGATGTCTCATGCTCTTTTTTTTTTTTTTAACAGAGGTGCAGTTCTGTTGGGCTTGGCAAGTGGATTGATGCTTTCAACATGTCCATGGTCTTATGCTCCTGGTTTAATCTGGTGGGCCACAGGTAAGTAGAATTTGTGTGCAGTTATGCCATTATTGAGTTTGGTTATCCAGCTGACTTGCAAGCATATGTACCTGTAGACTGATAATAGGTACAGCCTCACAAATGATCTGTTGCCAAGTGGGCTGTGCTACCAGCCGCAGCTCCAGTACTTGTAGCTCTGATGTCACCTGCGTCATGGGGGATCATCTGTTCCAGGTTCTTCCAACTTTATTCTTCCTCTCATTCAGTGACTGTCCCATTCCTCCTCCCAGCACCACCAGATTACACACCCACACTACTACCTTCTTGTGAAAGTACTCCTGCAGTGCTGGGATGTGGGTCCATGGACAATGTCCCTGACTATGACACAGTACAGGGACATGTGTCTGGAAAATGTCCGTGATGATTCAGAGGGTCGTCCACTGCCACACTGCTAGTCCCCCCCACTTTGTAATAGATTTATTTGATTTTTGATGATGTTTACATAGTTGAGAAGAGTACATGACCATGTGGACCACCAATTAGGATGGGAAGGGTCTGGGAATGGGAGAAAGTGGATGAGACAACTGCTTCCAATCTTCCTTTCTGTTCTTCCCATTTCTGGAGGTAGAGGAAGAGAGGGCCACTCCCAGCAGCCAAACCAACCCAAGGATATTGGACAGCCACTCAATGTCATCCTCGGGTCCCTGATATGAAACCTGTTCTAAGGGTACAGTTTAAATGATTTTGGTAGTTCAAGATGCTGTTTATTCCATTGTTCCAAGGTTGAGGAAATCCCTCCAAAGTCCTTTGCTTGGCATAGTTCACTTCAGAGTCTTAACTTGCTCAGAAACCTGCTGTCGAAGCTTGGCCAGTAGTGTTGCCCATTTTGTTCTGCCCTCCATGGTATTAGGTGTCCTCTGTAGGCCTCAGTGATCTGTCATGTTCCCTGCTGCATATGGCATACCATCCACTGCACAGGCTTCAGCAACTGAGGAGGCCCAGTTCTGATACATGCACTCCATGGCAAGACCACAGATCCTGCAACTTTCCCCATGGTTAGAGTTTTGTGTCCAGTGGTCCAGTTTTGGAAGTCTCCAAAGGAACTTCATCAGAGGTAACACCAGACTTGACTCTTGTGTGTGCCAGTCAGTGCAGGGTCTGACTCAGTTTGTTACCCACATCAGTTTTCACACATGCTGGTGGTTGCCGTACCTTGGTGAGCTCTGTTTCCAGTCCTATCTCATATGCAAACCAATGGATGCTGTGGCCCCGCCCAACCCTACCCACCACACATTTGGCTCTCATGTACACCAGTGGGAACTGCAGCCCAGTCATAGCAACCCCAATAAGCTCCAACAGACCTGCCTCCAGCTCTGTTTCTTGTGCATGCCAGTATATGCAGCAGACTGGTCCAATTTGTCCCGAATCCCATCAAATTGCTGTACACGTTAATGGGTCCTGAAGCCTAGCTCAGCCTGCCCAACCCCACTATCCAACTCACACTTAGGCTGGAGGGTGCCACTAGCTGTCCAGCCAGGCCCATCCCCAGCCGTGGTTCTCATGCTAACAGTGGCCTTGTGGGTGGACGTCCCCCAGAAGTGATTCCTCACCTGCAACATATTCCCTCAGTGCGCCTCCCTCCCATACATTCTCATACCCTGAGCAATCCACAATCCCTATGTCTGGGAGTGCATGGGTTCCTCCAGCCTGGTCTTCTCAATTCCTGTCTTCCAGTGGGATGGTGTGCTGGCCTGAAGCTCTGCCTACCTACCAGGGACTCAGGTCCCCTGATACACTGGTCCCCAGGCCCAGTCCTCTGGTATACATGCTGGCCTGGGACCTTATGCCTCTGCCCGCCTGGGACCCAAGCGTGTGTGCGAGATCCCAAGCCAAGCGTGTGTGCAATACCAGCATATCCCGCCAGCAGGGGCCTTTCCCTCCCTGCATCCCCTCCACCTGCCCATGGGACCGAGACACATGTGTGGGTCTCCAGTTCCGCTCAGACAGCCCCCAGGGTGAGTTCCCAGGCCCCAGAGCTGTCAGCAGCTCCCACACTGCTAGTTGTTGAACTCCGAATTCTCTTCCCGATTCCTGGCTTCTGTGCTTTTCAGAAACGGGGTTCTCTGGGATTCCATAACGAATCTCGTCGGTTGGGGCTGGTGATTGGCATGACAGTTAAGAGGCCGCTGGGGCCAGGTACATTGGAGTCCCAGCTCCTCTGCTTCTGATCCAGCTTCGTAACAGTGTGTATCCTAATAGTAGCTGAGTCCTTGTCACATACATAGGAGACCCAGAGTGAGTACTGACCACCTGACTTGGTCTGACCCAGCCTAGCATTTGAAGGTGTTTAGGAAGTGAAACAGTAGATGGATGGCTCCTCGTTCTATGTCCCTCTCCCCTTCAAATGCAGTGGAAATACATTTCAAAATTTCAAAAAGAAATCCCTCAGTTTCCCTTAGACTTTTATATGTAACAGTTTAGCTCGAAATCCTTTTACTCAAGTATGGAGCCTGTGTTTGTTTATTCAAACACCTGATTTTTATCTTCCCAGTCATACCTTTTGGAATCCTACCATACTGGTCAAAGCTACCAGAATGTTGAATTTATATCTTTTTTTAAAAAAAGATTTATTTTATTTTTTCATTGGAAAGGCGGATATACAGAGAGGAGAGACAGAGAGGAAGATCTTCCGTCCGGTGATTCACTCCCCAAGTGAGCGCAACGGTCGATGCTATGCCGATCCGAAGCCAGGAGCCTCTTCTGGGTCTCCCACGCGGGTGCAGGGTCCCAAAGCCTTGGGCCGTCCTCGACTGCTTTCCCAGGCCACAGGCAGAGAGCTGGATGGGAAGCGGGGCTGGCGGGATTAGAACCGGCACCCAAATGGGATCCTGGGCGTGCAAGGCGAGGACCTTAACCACTTGCGCCACCGCGCTGGGCCCTGAATTTATATCTTATGAACAAATCATGCCACTCCTCCTACTACTATTTTTTTAAATGACAATATATGGGTTTTTGTTTTGTTTTGTTTTGTTTTGAGAGGGGAAAGAAGAGAAAAATGAACATGAGAGCATACTTTCCACCTGTTGGTTCATTCCCCAAATGCCTGGCAACCAGAAACTCTATTAGGGATCCAAGTACTGAAGTCATCCCCTGCTGCCTCACAGGTTGCACATTTGCAGGAGGCTGGAATTGGGAACGGAGCTGGGACCAGGCATGCCAGCGTGGGATGTGGCCAACCCAGGTGGCATCTTGAATGCTGTGCTAAACATCTCCCCTGTCTTTCTTCTTTTTTGTTATAAAGATTTATTTATTTATGTATTTTATTTTGGAAAGACAGATCAGATTTATGGAGAGAAGGAGAGACAAAGATCTGTCATCCACTGATTCATCACCCAAAGTCCACAGCTGAGCCAATCCAAAGCCAGGAGCCAAGAGCTTCTTCTGGGTCTCCCATGCTGGCACAGGGTTCCAAAACTTTGGGCTGTCCTCAACTGCTTTCCCATGCCACAAGCAGGGAGATGGATGGGAAGTGGAGCAGTTGGGACAGAACCGGCACCCATATGGGACCCCAACACTTGCAATGTGAGAATTTAGCCATTGAGCCATCGCACTGGGCCCATGCAAAATTATTTTTTAAAAAGGTTTATTTAATTTTTATTGAAAAGGCAGATATACAGACAGGAGGATCTTCCATCTGATGGTTCACTCCCCAAGTGGCCGCAACGGCTGGAGCTGAGCCAATCCAAAGCCAGGAGCTCCTCTGGGTCTCCCATGCGGGTGCAGGGTCCCAAAGCTTTGGGCTGTTCTCGACTACTTTCCCAGGCCACAAGCAGGGAGCTGGATGGGAAGCTGGGAAGCGGGGCTGCCAGTGTTAGAATTGGCGCCCACATGGAATGCCAGTGCGTTCAAGGTGAGGACTTTAACCACTACGCTATCGCCCTCAGCCCACAAACTTATTTTTAATAATGCATACTATGTATCAACTTTTTGAAGACTGTCTTTTTTTTCTTTTTTTTCATTTGTGAACAAAATGGTTAATGAGTAATTAGCTACTTTCTTCTAAATCCTGGAAAACTGAGGAACATAAAGGCAGAGTGTTAGCTAAAGAATAGAAAATCTCGAACCTACAGTCTTATTTTCCTAGTAAGGTGGAAAGCTTGAGAGTCAAACTCGATCTAGTTTGGTACTTCTTGGACATAGAAGTGTCAGTTTTAAAGACTTTAAGGGCAAGTCTGAAACTCGGTTGACAGCAGAGAAAAGCAGGACTGTGACTCAGGAGCTGCAGTTCCTTTTCTAATTGCCTGCTGGCCTGAAGTGTTGGAGCTCACAATGAATTACGTGGAAATGGTGCCCACTTCTCATCTCAGGCTTCCCTCTCAGGAAACCACAGGACAAAACAGAGTGTAGCAAAAAGAATCATATTTCCCCATTGTGCTTAAGCTGACAACTTCAGTGGGGAACTCAGCATGAAATTCATTATAGCAATAACCAAAGGTTTCATAAAAGCAGAGACCTATGTCTTTACGTCTTTGAGCTTTAAATCTTGATAGCAAGTGAATTAGTAACTTCTGTTATAAAAAAGGCATGGTTACAGTAAACAAATTAATAGAACCTCAGTGTACTATATAGTTATCTGATTTAATGATATGACAAATTTGATATCTTGCCAATTAATATGATTTTATAAGTTAAGTGAAAAGCCAAAGTGACTAACAATGTATATCTTTATGCTATCATTGGTCTACAAGAGGAGAGATACACACACATACTCACATACACACATTCATTCACACATATGTACTCATGTACACCACATGCATTTGTACGTAGTGAACATCTTTTGAAGGATGTAGGAGTAAATGCTAGTATTGGCTAATTTATCTCAGGGCAGCTAGTGAGTGATATGGATCAGAAATTTCCGGGCCTGGTGGCGTGGCCTAGCGGCTAAAATCCTCGCCTTGAATGCACCAGGATTCCATATGGGTGCTGGTTCTAATCCTGGCAGCTCCACTTCCCGTCCTGCTCCCTGCTTGTGGCCTGGGAAAGCAGTAGAGGACGGCCCAAAGCTTTGGGACCCTGCACCCGCATGGGGTACCCGGAAGAAGTTCCTGGATCCTGGCTTCAGATCGGCATAGTATCGGCTGTTGCAGCTCACTTGGGGAGTGAATCACCAGACGGAAGATCTTCCTGTCTGTCTCTCCTCCTTTCTGTATATCTGACTTTCCAATAAATAAACAAATCTTTAAAAAATTTTCCTTTTTTTAATGTTTCAATTCTAGATTTTGAATTTGTAGCTTAGTTAAAAATATAATTTACATGTATTAAAATATAGGACCTGTTTAAAAATAGAAACTAAAAGTAAAATAAGAATAACAGTCAAGGGAAATTTAAAGAACTGGTTCCTTTCTCTCCTGAGAATTGTCTGCAATAAGATGAAAACAGCCAAGTCATTTTTTTGAAAGTTTACTTGTACTTATTTGAAAGGCAGAGCTACAGAGACAAACACACACAGAGTGAGTGAGTGGCAGAGAGAGAGAGAGCGAGAGCGAGCGAGCGAGCGAGAGAGAGAGAGAGAGAGAGAGAGAGACAGATTGAGTGCATCTGCTGAGTTTTCTCCAGATACCTGCAAATCCTGGGCTGGGCCAGGCCTTAAACAGGAGCCTGAAGCACTATTCATTGTGCCTCCCGTATGGATAAGAGTGACTCAAGTGCTCAAGTCAGGATGTGTATTGGCAGGCAGCTGGATCAGGAGCTGAGGATCCAGGGCCCCATGCCAGGCACTTGGATACAGCAGCTTAACTGGCTGTGCCACATGGCCTGCCCTTCCTAATAGTCTCTATATTTGAATAAAAAATTAGGATGCACTCTTTTGAAACTAGTCATTGTAAGCCAATAGATAGGAAAAACTCAATTCTACTTCTAACAAAATAACTGCAATTTAATCTGCCATACTATTTTTCAGCCCTAATTTGGTCAAGATATTTAGAAAATGAATTTCGGAAGTCTTTAAAAGATGTTGAGACTTTGGGTGACTTTTTTTGCAGGAAATAAAGATTGATAAATCTTTCTAGAAACAACTGATCATAATAATGTCTCTACAAATGCTTATAGCCTCTGACATAGTAGCTGAATCGCCAGGAATCTATTTTAAGTATATTGTTGAAGATGTGGTAAGAGATTTATTGACAAATAAAGATGTCCATCACACTGTAGTTTTACAGGTTTGGCACCGAAAATCTATGTTATGGCTATTTGTCCAGTGAAATATTATTGTCCATAGCAATGTTTTAGAAAAAATAACATGAGAAGATATTTCTACTATGATGTTACATTAGAAGTAGCAGATAATCCTTAGTGTGTGATATAACTTTACTCATGCAGAAATTCTATCCTGGAATAAGGTAGAGACGTAGAAGTACATATGAAGACATGCTGACTGCCGGCATCTCAGTCTTAGGTGGTCTTTCTGTTTCTTTACAATTCAGTATTTTGACTCTATAGCAAATAGGTGCCACAGTTGTCTTAATTTAAAAGGAAAACTTCCCATCACAGAGATCTGAATGCTATGGGTTGTGGGGGACCCTGGAATGTGGTCTCACATTTGTCTGCATGATGTTGTCTTCAAGCAGGAAAGTGGGGTGGCATTGGCAGTCTCTTGGCATTCTCGGGGTGGTGCGATGTGACAACTGGCTTGGAGCCATTTCCTGCTCCTCAGGGGAGTTTCCCAGAGTGAGGAATCTGCCGTCAGTTCCCTTGAACGGCAGGTGCTGTGACTCAACACTGGCCCAGTGTTGAGAAATGTCCTGTTGTCCATGGAAAGACATTCTGTTGGGGTGGTACCTAGGAGTGCTGTTTCCAAGCTGGCATCACAGGACTTGGGGAAAAGGCTGTGTGTCCTCAGTGCTGGCTCGGTAGAACAATGTGATTGCGAAGTGTCTACTCTGGAGCCCAGCTCCCCACTGGGATAGCACAGGAGCAGAGGGTGTACTGTCACTCTGTCACTCATACCTGGTTTGGGGGCTGATGGGTTGGGAAGGTCAGTGTACAGGTAGGAGAATGAACACCTCGCAGGCAGGCAGGGATTCCTTTAAAAAGTCCTGTAGCCAACACATTTAGCAACTACAGTGATAGAACCACCTGTTCTATCATGTCCTGTACCTGGCTGATGAAACACAAATTAGATATTATGTTTAATATCAGTTTTTTTTTTTTTTGACTGCTAGGATTTTAAAGGCAATTGCTTCAAAATGCCTTCTTTCCACTCCTGGTCCTACCTGAAGGAAAAACTGTTGGATTGAGGTTTATGAGACCCGCATCCCGCCTCCGTTGTGCTAATAACTGGCTTGTGACCTTCAGGAAATCACCTTAACTTTGCAAGTCTTTGGTTTTCTAATTTGTCTGGAGATTGAATCAATATACCCCAAAGGTCTCTCTGGCTGCAGAGGCTATAAATTGGTCATCCTGTAAGCTTTACTGCTTTCTCGTCTGATGCATTTTCTTTTCTCTCTCATCAACAGGAATGGCTTCAGCTGTGGGACTCCTTTACCTGCCCACGTGGGCAGCAGCTGTGTCCGGCTGTGTGCTGGCTGTCTTTACTGCATCCATGTGGCCTCCAGTACTTGGACAGTTTGTTAGCTCAGGGACAAACCCTGGGAAAACCATGACCCTTGCCATGATAGTTTATCTTCTCGAGATATTCTTCTGTGCCTGGTGCACGGCCTTTAAGTTTGTCCCAGGAGGTGTCTATGCTAGAGAAAGGTCTGATGTGCTTTTGGGTGAGTACATTGAAAAGTGCTGGGCTAAAATATCTGCTTAAAAATGGGCTTGAGAACTGGCTAGGGCTTAGCAATTTATATGACTGGTGGAAATAGAGTGATTTTGCCTTCTTCATAAGATAGACTTTCTTGGTTTTTGAAAAAAAAAAAACTGGAGGTGAACTCTTAGCATAGTGATTAAGCTTGGGGTACCCTCATTTCACAGCAGAGTGTCTGGGTTTGAGTCCTAGCTTTGCTAATGCTTTCAACTTCCTGCTGTTGGAACTGTTGGGATGAAGTGATACTGGCTTAAGTAGCTGAGTCTCTGCCACCCTTGTCGAAGACCTAGGTGGAGTTCCTGGATCATGAATATTTTATCAATAAAATTGATACATATCTTACCATAGATGATGATGTAAAAAGTCACAGAAAGTCACAGAAAGACACTCGGTGGTTATAAATGCATGTATCAAAATTAAAATTTCATAAACTTTTCTGGTTTCATACTTTTAAAAAATTACCTTCTGGCCTGCCAGTCTAAATCTGGAAGTCAGTCTGGGTCTCTGCTACGGCTGGCACAGACTGACTGCTAGGGCCATCCCCTGCTGCCTCCAGGTACCTGAGCAGGAAGCTGGAATGGGGTGGGGAACTGGGACTCTAGAAGAATCGCTCTCTGTGGTTGGTGGCCCCTCCAAGAGGCAGCTCAGCCACCACGGCAGATGGCTGTCCCTGGAAGACATGTTTTTTTTTTTTTTTTTTTTTAATAACAGGAAACATTTTAGAGGCAACTTTTGAGAATTTGGTATTTGGGGTAATTACTGAAGCTCTCATCAAATGAAAGCAACATATTGCTGCGTTTCTTGTGCCATGATCTTGTCTTTGCAAGCTTTGTATTTCTTCTTGTTTCTTTCAGGTGTCTGTGCTCTGTCCTGCTCTGTTTTCCTGTCCAATGCCCTGCTTTTTTCTTCTTCCAGCTTGCTTAGGGGTCTGCCGTGTGAAGAAAACGAATGAAAGTAAGAGCCGTTCTCTGCCTGAGTGTGCTTCCTTAGAATGCTATAAGTAAGTGAGGAGCTTCTCCATTCCTCCTCACAGTTTCTGTGGCTGCAGAAACTGCATGAGAATTCCACACAGTCAAGCCCTGCTTTTAAAGGCATGAGTGACATTCTATTAATGCGGCCACAAAAACCAACAAACATTGGCCATATTCAGAGTAGCTTTTACTACATTGAATTGCAAAGCATCTCTATTAAATCGGCAACTGTATTTTTTTCATGGTTTTATCCTGCTGTTTGCTGGATGCTTGGGCTTAAGTATTTTTTTTTTTTTTGCTAGTTTCCCTTGGCATATCATTTACTTATATTTCCTGATGTGTACATTTTGTGCTTTCTCTCTGTTTCCATTCTTAGTATGCACGATCTGGGAACTATGTGCCCTGTCTGGGTACTCTGTAAACTACAGGGTCCCGTGTCCCACCTGGGTTCTACTCTGTCATCTGGCTTGCTGCATGCATCCTTGGGGAGGGCCCTTGGTGCAAAGCATGTGCATCCCAGGGCACTGCCATTCTCAGAACTCAGCCCTGCCCCACTGTGCTCTGCAGTTTGGGGCACAAGAGATGATCCCCTGAGATCTCAGAAGGCCTCCCAAATGTCTCCTGCCCAGCACTCACAGCAGCCTGTCAGGAGATTCAGACATTCCCCATTGGGAGGATACTGGGGTCTCTTCTTGCTGAGCCCCAGGACCCTGCCTGAGTTCCCAGTTAACAGAAGCATTGCTAGGGTGATTGCTTACCTACTGAGAGAAATGAACTCACGAACTGCTTGGTTCATTTCAAAGAAATCTGGGCTCCTGGAATTTACCTTTGAAAGGATTTATTAATTCATGTATAATACATTCTTTCTCTTTTTCATAGGCACCATAATGGTAATTATTGGGCTAAATATGCTATTTGGTCCAAAGAAAACCCTTGACTTTCTTCTTCAAACAAAAAACAATCCAAAAGAGATTTTCAGAAGAAGTGAAAAATACATAAGACTTTGTAAGTACAGTTTTTTTGAAACCCTTATGACATAAATTCTCAAGCACATGACAGTATCCTCAATGAACCTGCATACGGCTTCAGCAATTCTCAGTATTTGGCCTATATTATTAACAATCATCTTCTCTATCCTTTTTTGGTTAACAAAATCTTTCACATTGTGCCATTTCAACCATAAATACTCTGAATGAGGCTTATACTTACATTTCCTCTTAAAATTATGTGTTTATTTGAAACATAGAGTGATCTGCCATCCACTGGCTCACTCCCCAAATTCCTGCAAACAGCTGGGGCTGAGGTGGGGCTGGGGCTGAAGCCTACTCATTAGTAGCAAGCTGGAAGTGGGTACAAAGCTGGATCTCGGATCTAGATGCTGTGATATTGATATGTGGGCATCCTACGTGATGTCTTTGCATGAGTTTTAGATAATTTAACAAGTGGAATTTCCAAAATGCAGTGTTGTAACAATTAAGACTGTTCACTCCCTTTCTTGTTCTCTTCTAATTTTTTTGGACATTAAATATGCTAATATTTCAAATGTTAATGAACTAGATTCCTACATGAAATTAGTTTACCGTTCAGTAGTCAACTAATTTCAAATCAATCATATCAAATAATGTATTGAATGATATGGCATATAGATAGTATATTAGGCAGTTAGAATGTAGGACACAAAAACATAAAAACAGTGGTCTCCATCCCCAAAGTCTGGATACCTTATTAAAGGAAGTAAACTATCATGAATAAAGAGATTCAAAAACAATTAAGAAATTATATAATGTTTAATGTATTTCTAAAATAAATGTCACAACAAAGGAAGACCGTTGTATAAAAATGTTCATGTATGTTTCATCCTAATTTGAAAATGTTCTATTTAAAGTTAGGGTGAGTTTTTTTTTCCTTTTGGCATGTATTCCTTCATTTTGATGCGCCAGAATCTAGCCCAATTTTATTTGCTTTTAAAAAAAGATCTGTTTTATTTATTTGGACAACCAAAGTGAGGGGCCAGCAGGTGGCACGGTGGGTAAAACCTCCACCTGGAATGCCAGAATCCCATATAGAGTCTCAGTTCAAGTCTCAGCTGCTCCAGTTCACATCCAGCTCCCTGCTGATATGCCTGGGAAAGCAGCAGAGGGTTGCCGAGTACTTGGATCCCTGCCACCCATTTAGGAGACCTAGAAGTTCCTGGCTCCTGACTTCAGGCTGGCCCAGCTCTGAACACGGAAGCTATTTATTTGGGAAGTGAACCAATGGACAGAAGATTTTTCTCTTTCCCTCTGTCTCTTCCTTCCCCTTTCTCCACTTCTCTCTGACCCTTTTCCCTATTTCTCCCTCTCACTTGCTCTCAGTAACTGTGCCTTTCAAATAAGCAAAGTAAATCTTAAAGAAAAAGAAAAGTGAAATGACAGGGAGAGAGGGAGTTAGGTAGATAGAGAGATGGTTCATGCCCCAAATGCCAGTCACACCAGCTTGGTCTTCTACATGGCAGGGGGAAGTATTTGCGCTGTGACCTGCTGCCTCCCCAGGACCCTTAGCAGAGAGCTGGGTAGGAAGGGAGAACCAGGACTTAAAACACCAGTATGGGATGCCAGTCTTGGCAGCTTACCCCTGTGCACCACAACACTCTTCCCTCATGTGTGTGTATTTAAATATTGATTTATTTATTTGAAAAGCAAAGTTACAGAGAAAGACAGAGATCTATCTACTGGTTCACTTCCCAAATGGCTACAATGGCCAGAGCTGGGCCAGGCGAAACACTGGCTCCCTATCTGTATGTTTTTATAACAACAACAATTCTTAAATTGATTCATCAGATGGGAAGCATTTGGAAAAGTTTATTTACAGAGTTGATTATACCATTCTGCACATTGTTTAAAAATACTTTATTTTAAGGGAGTTGGCACTGCAGCACCTGTAGTGTGTTCCGTGTGGACCCTGATTCATTTCCTGGCTGCTCCACTTCTGATCCTGCTCACTACTAATGCACAGGGAAAAGTAGCAGAAGACCAAAGTACCAAGTCAAAGACCTGGTAGGGGCTTCTAGCTCCTGGCTTTGCCTGGCACAACTCTGGCCATTAGGGCCATTTAGGGAGTGAATCAGTGGATGGAAGTTCCATCTCTGCCTCTCCCTCTGTGTAACTCTGCCTTCCAAATAGATAATAAATAAATAAATCTGAAATGTATATTTAAAAATATTTTTAGAGCAGTTTTAGGTTGGCCACATAATTGAGTAGAAGGTACAATGAGTTCCTGTTTACCTTCTGCTCCATATATGAGCATGTAGAGCCCCCCCTCCACCAAAATTACTCACCAGAGTGACTTGTTTCTCATAAAGAATGAATCACTGTTGCCCACAGTCCATACTTAAATCTTACTTTGCTTTTGCACTTTGTACCATTTTCTAGGTATGTTTTTTCTCTTTTTCTTGATTTCTTTTGTACTTGTTGGCCTTTTTCTTTTCCTTTCTTCTCACACCCCTCCTTCCCACTCCTCTTTGTAATTTGAAAATAATAGCTTTTACTTTATTTATTTATTTATTTTGGTAATTAGTCATTTTCATCTCAGCACATTGAGAATACAGTTCCACTATTTTCTAGCTTCTACTTTTGCTGTTGGCAAGTCAGCAGTCAGTGTAAACACTACTTCTTTGAAGATAACCCTTAATTTCTGCTCTGTCAGCTCCTTAAATTGTGTTTTGGTGTTTTACAGTTTCAACAGGATGTATCTAAAATGAAGATTTCTTCCCCATCTTTCTCAGGAGTCTTTGACATTTATGAACCTGGGCATTCATATCTTTCATTTCTGGGAAAATCTCAGTGTTGCTTCTGCAAGTACTGCTTCTTCCTCATTCTTGCTCTTCATTCCTTTTTGGCTTCAGTTGGATGAGTGTTGGATCTTCTTTGCCCTTTGTGTCTTTTCATTTTTTTAGCATTTTCTGTTTGTGTATTTTTGGACTGCTGTTTGCACTAATTTCCTATTCAGACTGCACTATTTGTGTTATCCATTGAGTATCTAAATTCAGTTATTAAAAAAAATCCTAGAATGCTTGATTTCTATATCAAATTATCTGATCATTGTAGTCTGTTGTTCCTTAGTCATAATGTTGAATACTTTTATTTTCCTAAATACATTAAACATACTTATGTTATGCTCTGATCCTGAAGGTCCCAATATCGGAAATCTTTGTGGGGTGGATTCTATAGAGTTTATTTTTCCTGCTGGATCCTGCTCTTGGAGACTTGCTTTCTTGTATGTTTTATAATTTATTGTTGCTTTAAGTTCATGGTCCTTGGCACATTTTAAGAAGAGTCTTAGAAACTTACGGTTGAAGTATGCATTATATAAGCATGCCACTCATGAAAAATTACTCAAAATTTTCAGTAGATTCAGTGATTTAGCAAAACTTATTTTTAAAACAAGATTTGATTTAGACAATTATTTCTTTTTTTTCTATTTAGTTTTATGGCTGCTTGTCGGTGTGGGGCTGTTGGGATTAGGACTACGGCTAAAAACATATGAGAGAAAGTTGGGCAAAGGGGTGAGTAATTAGATTTTGAAATTGTATTATGAAATGTGTATATACATGCATTTCTATACCTTATTATTCTGATTGAATGCTAAATCTGCATCTCATTGCTTCAGAAGCTCTATATTCTTAACTCTTAGGTCATATGCTGATGGTATGTGGTACTATTTTATGAAACTATTCCATAATACCTTTCAATATATTAATTAATAGATGTTGCCTAAGATAGCAAAGTTTGAGATTCTTTGTCTGAAGAAAAGTCTTATGGAAAATTCTTGATTTGTGTATTAATTGGTCATGGAATGTTTCTCTCTCTTTCCTCTTGCTTTCTATAATTTTAAATATCTCCCTGCCCCTTTTCTCATTTACAAAGGTTGGCAGAAGCAAGAATAAGTCATTGTAACAATATGCTTTCTATCTGTTCCAATAAAAAATTTAACTTGTTTCATTAGGCAGACTGAGTTCTAGTTTTGGCTAACAGAATTTAAGGATCAATTTTAAATTTTAGCAATCTGTGCTTTGGAAAAATAATCTTAGTAAGTAAAAAGCTATACTTGGGATGGATGCCAAGTTTCTCTCATTTTTCCTTAATTCCTAGATTCTGACAAACTGCTTGGCATTTTTAAAGAACTCAGTAACTTTTAAAAATGGATTTATTTATTCAAGAGGCAGTTACAGAGAGGGTGGGGGAGAAACAGGGAGAGATCTTCCATTTTTATGTTCATTGCTCGAATGATTGCAATGGCTCTGGACCAATCTGAAGCCAGGAGCCAGGAGCTTCTTCTGGGTTTTCCGTATGAGAGCAGGTGCCCAAGCATTTGGACCATCCTTTGCTGCTTGCCTAGGTGCAATAGCAGAGCTGGATGAGAAGCGGAGCAGCTGAGATTGGAACTGGAGCCCATATGGAATGCCAGTGGCACTAAGCCACCGTGCCAGCCCCAGTAGCTATTTCTTAATAAATAGTACACAATCTCTTTCTTTAATTGTTAGTCACTCTTTCAGCAATACTTTCAGGACAACTCATTTACTGTCAGCTTACAGAGGAACTATTTGAGTTGGACTTAATGTCAATTTCATTCTTTTGTTCATTCATTCATTCATTTGACAAGTGCTGCTGAAAAATCTCCTTATGAGCCTGGTACACAGGATACAGAAGTAAACAAGTTAAACAAGATCCTTACTCTTCTAGAGTTTTCTTTCTAGTCAAAAAACACAGTATTCAGAGGAAGAAATAAAGACTATCATTTTAGATCACGTTGCTATGAAGGAAATAAGATTATGGAGTACAGAGTGACTGGGTCTAAGTGTGTAGAGAAGGCTGCTTTGAGCAGGTGCCATTTGAGATGAGACCTGAGAGCTGAGAAAAAGCCCATTGTTCAGAGGCTAGGATTCAGGCCGAGGTGTCCCTGCATAAAGGACGGAGGGAGAACCAAGCTTGTTTGAGGCACACCAGGGTAGCCAGCAATGGCTAATGAATGGCAGAAGATGAAATTGGAGAGGCTGGGGAGGGCCACATTACCTAGAGCCTCTCAGACCATGGCAGTGAGTCGGCGTTTTGTTTGCTGTCAGTGGAGGCCAAATGTTTCAAGCAAATAGAATGAAGGAAATTGATACGTGTCAATTTGGCCGCTGTGTATGGCATGGGTGGTAGAGAATAAGGGTACATAAAAGGGAATGAGTTCTGAGGTTTTTTTCTTTTTCAGTTGTCTAATAGATGTTGGAAGCATCAGTGGACTTGGAGAGAGGTCAGGCTATATTTTAGAAGTAGAATGGATTGGATTAGCTGTTGAGTTAGTTGTTTCTGGATGAGGAAAAGGAAGGAATCAAGAGTGACTTATGCTTTTGACTTGAATATCTGGAAAGTGAGAGGAGTGTACATTTAATCTAGTGATTAAGACATCTGCTCCTACGTGGGAGTGCCTGGGTTTGAGTCCCAGCTCCAGCTGATGCTGCCAGCTTTCTGCTAATGCAGAGCCTGGGAAGTAGCAGGTGATAGTCCAAGTCATTGGGTCTCCACCGCCCACATGGGAGACCTTGGCTGAGTTCATGGCTCTTGATTTTGACCCTGGGCATTGTGGGCATTTGAGGAGTGAACCAGCAGATGGAAACTCTGTTTCTGTGTCTCTAGTTTTAAAAATAAAATAGTAAAATAGAATGAGAAGTTAATTTTACTTTTGGTACAAAAATGAAATTCATGCATATTTTTATAGTATGTATTTCCATGAACTTTTTTTAAAAACAAATCATCATTATTTATTTATTTATTTATTCATTTTATGACACGGTTTCATAGGTTCTGGGATTCCCCCATACCCTCCCCATATTCTACCCCATGGTGGATTCCTCCACATTGTTGCAGTAGTACAGTTCATATCCAGTCATGATTCCTTCATTGCAAGCATGTACTATGTATAGAGTCCAGCATCTTATTGTCCAGATAGTTTCAACAGCTTCCTTGGGAGACCATCCCTGGTCTAAAAGTCAAGCTGGCAGAATATCATCCCCTCCAATGAAAAGCCACAACATAACATCAAAAACAATTTACAAAATTATGGAGTTAATTGACATGGTATTGAGTGCCCAATATGTTAGAAAATACAAGTTCTTAACCACATCCTGTGACTACTTCATTGACATTTCAATTTTAGTTTATATATAACTGGCTGCTATACTCCTGGAAATGGTTATAGGGTACTATTCAGCTGTCTTGTGTCTTTTTTTTCCTCATTTTTATATTTAGCTGTTTATAGTATTGAAGCATAATTTTTACTGAACTTGGCAAATTTTAAGATATTCCAATCCGGCATATGTCAACAGTTGAGGTGCAGAACAGTTTTTGGGAGGGGTGTGCAGAGAAATCTTCAATACCTTATCTTTGTGTCCTAATAATATGTGAGTCCAAGCTATCCATTTCCTGTCTGGTTCTAAGCTTTCCTTGTTGGTCTCTGTGTATCTAATCTAATTTAAAATTTTTGGGGGGTGGGGGCTCTGGAGTGACCCTGATGGTCATTGCAAGAGAGGGTGGGGTTCAAGGTTGGAACTAAGTAAGGACCAGAGAAGGCTCCCCTCCCGAGTTCTGAAGGAAGTTTACTGTTCTTCTGTACCTGAGGACTGTTTAATAGCTCCCGGCTATTGTTCTGATGACATTAGATCCTGTGAAGAAGGATCTGGGCATCTTCCATCCCATGTGGGAGATCTGAAATGGAGTGGATGACCTCAGAGTTCTTGGCCTATGAGAGCAGTCCAATTCCTGGTGGTCTCCTTCATTTCCATAAACTTTTTGGAGACTTCTCATATAGTTGTGTGAAAAAGGATAGCTGGATGAATCTAATCATGCTTCTTGAAATCTTGGTTTATACCCTTCATTAAACCAGATATTCTTCCTTGTGTTGGAGATGAAATGCCTGGCTTACTGATACAACACAAACACAGGCCATGTTAGGCAGGTAGTGGCTCTTCTATGCAGTTATTTTTATGTATCTTCTCTCTCAAACTAAGATTGTATGGCTCAGTTTGAGTTGTCTTTTCAGTTGTGCTCACAGACTTGGTTCTAATTCAGCTGTTCTCTCTCACAGAAGCACTGTCATCGGTCAGTAGGTATTTATTTGGGATGAATGGTTAGAGTTGGGCATTATGTGGCTAGTTCAAGAGCCAAAAAATGAAGGTTTTCTTCTTTTCTTTTCTTTTTTTTTTTTAGGATTTATTTATTTTACTTGAAAGAGATATGGAAAGAGAGAGAGAGAGAAAGATCTTCCATCTGCTGGCTCACTCCCCAAATAGCCGCAATAGCCAGAGCTGGGCCAGTCTGAAGCTTCTTGTGGCTCTCCCATAAGGGTGCAGGGGCCCATGGATTTTCCCCTGCCTTCTCAGACACTTGAACAGGGAACTGGATCAGAAGTGGAGCATCCAGGACACAAATCAGCACCTGTATTAGGATGCTTGTAGCACAGGCAGTACCTCTACTGGCTAACCCACAGCACTGGCAGCAGCTGGCCACTTCATACATACAGTAAAGGTCTCTACTCCTCCTCATGTGATTCTTCTTCCCTGCAAGGATAACTGTTCTCCTGAGAATAGTTTTTTTTTTTAAGATTTATTTATTTGTTGGAAAGTCAGATATACAGAGAGGAAGAGAGACAGACAGAGAGAAAGATCTTCCGTCCAATGATTCACTCTGCAAGTGACCACAAGGCCCAGTGCTATGGCAATCCGAAGCGAGGATCCAGGAACCTCTTCCAGGTCTCCCACGCAGGTGCAGGGTCCCAAAGCTTTGGGCCATTCTCGACTGCTTTCCCAGGCCACAAGCAGGGAGCTGGATGGGAACCTGGGCTGCCAGGATTAGAACTGGCGCCCATATGGGATCCCGGTGCGTTCAAGATGAGGACTTTACCCACTAGGCCACGCTGCCGGGCCTGAGAATAGTTTTTAAAAATACTTTTCAAGTACTTCCTTTTATTGCCATTACATAGAATAGATTCCTAGACAATATTATTTTTTCCTAGTTTTTAGTTTTTCCTAGTTTTTCAATTAAGTGACATCTCATAAAACTTAGTCATCTTTGTAAGAGTCATCCACATGAAAACATGTTGTCCTAATTTATGTACTAATACCTCGTAGTATTGCATTATATATGTGTCATCATTTCTTTCTTTTTCTACAGATGGACAGCTAGCTTATTTCCAATGTCTTGCTGCAATAAACAAAGCTTAGCATAAGTAGCTTCCCAGTGTTCCTCCTAAGGTATAAGCTGAAGATAGAAGTTCACCGATTAATTATGAAACTGCCAAATCACAAATATGTCCTCCTGTTTATGAATTAAGTGTGTGCAAATGTCTAAGGACACCCCTTTGCGAAAAAAATGGGTTTTGGTGGAGAAATGTGAAGATGTATCAGTGTTGAAAGTCTTCCTAAATTACCATGAAAACTGTTCTGCAGGTCCCAGCCCAGGAGTTCTCTGCTGCCATCTGGCCATTCCGGTTTGGATACGACAACGAAGGATGGTCCAGTCTGGAAAGATCAGCCCAGCTGCTCAGGGAAACTGGTCAGTCTTCCTGGGATGAGTCCCAGGTCTTGAGAAGCTACTCCTGTTGCTTCTGTTTTCTTCAAGGTCCAAAAGCACAGGCAGAGGGCTTGCTGGGTTACAGAGGTGTCTGAAAAGGCTGTCCCTGGAGGGCAGCTGCAGGGAGATGTCTCCACATTTCTCTCCACATTTGCAGCAATGAATCTAGTAGGTTCTGAACACCAACACCTGCTGCCTATCTGCAGAGGTTCGGTTCATGCTGTTAGCCGCTGTGGCTTAGGGACCCAGTGCTGGGGACCAGGAAATTATTGGATAAGGGCAGAATGGGTCAGAGAGAGGCTCCTCTGTGAAGCAAATTACAGCCTGGGGAGCATTTTCACTCATTTTTCTTATCCTGGGGTGCTCACCTTTGTGAAAAGCATCTTCTAATCGTTAGCAGAGTTTGATTCTCAGATCAGCCATGGGAAGGGATACCAGAGAAGGGCTCAACTATTCTTATTAGCCTTAATGCTAAACATGCCTCTTGAGAAATTGCCAGGTCTCTCTGTGGACGAAGATGCTTGTTTAGACTTCATGACAGTTCTCTGATGCATGCCTGGCCAGGATCTAAACAAGTCAGTCAGGGGTGACAGTTAAGATGTCACTTGGGAAGCCTGCAGCCCACCAAGTGTTTGGTTCGAGTCCTGTCTCCCATATTTCCTCTCAAGCTCCCTGATAATGTGCACCCTGGAGATAGCAGATGGTGACTCGAATACATGGGTCTCTGTCACCCATATCGGAGTTTGATTTTTGGGTTCTGGCTCTGGCTGTGGCTTGGCCCAGTCCTAGATATCATAGACATTTGGGGGGTGAACCAGCAGATGGAAAAATCTCTGCCTCCCACTGTTTGCTTGCCTTTTAAATAAAACAAAAATAAATTCTTAAAAATTTTAAAAAGTAAAAATAAGAAAGCCAGTAAAATTGCTTCTGTGCTGGAGTCATGGGACTATTTGCCATGGAATAAAATGTGATTTTTATGAACATACATTGAATTATTTAAGAAAAGTATGAGGATTATTTGAAATTTGGAGAAAGGTGTTAAGAATATTTGAGGATTTAGAAAGTTGGGCTTTTGGGCCTGGCACGGTAATTTAGCGGCTAAAACCCTCACTTTTTGAATCCCAGATGGGCGCCGGTTCTAATCCCAGCAGCCCTGCTTCCCATCAAGCTCCCTGCTTATGTCTGGGAAAGCAGTCAAGGACGGCCTAAAGCCTTGGGACCCTGCAACCGCATGGGAGACCTGGAAAAAGCTCCTAGCTCCTGACTTCACTTTGGCTCAGCTCCTGCCATTGCAGCCACTTGGGGAGTGAATCACCGGAAGGAAGATCTTCCTCTCTGTCTCTCCTCTTCTCTGTATATCTGTCTTTACAATAAGGATAAACTAAATATTAAAAAAAAGAAAAGCTGGGCTTTTATGTGTCCCAGTATTTCCTTCAGGTGTTTATGTTTTAATGTTTTCCCAAAACACAGGAAAGACTTTATAGCTCAGACCTGAACCACTTCTCTTTAGTAATTCATTAGGAATTACTTTGGGAGTTTATAAGTAAAGGCAAGTCAGTGAAGGGCGTGGAATGAAGTTTGGAACATTGTTTTCTGCATTGCTGTGATTACTGTGTGCTTACCTGCTCCCCAACAGGTGCAGATTTCATAACAATTTTGGAGAGCGATGCCTCTAAGCCCTACATGGGGAACAATGACTTGACCATGTGGCTAGGGGAGAAGTTGGGCTTCTATACAGACTTTGGTCCGAGCACAAGGGATCACACCTGGGGGTGAGTGCATTGTGGGATTGAATCTTGAGCAAGATCCTGGCTGGCAGGTGGGGCCGCACAGACTGGGGACAGGGAGCTAAGACTGTCCTGACTTCATCTGTGACTGCCCTAGAGGGAGTTCCTGGGTGGTGGGGATGGGATGCCTATTTCATAAACTCAAGGTGGCTTCCTTGATGCTGAGTCTCCCCAGTTTTTAACTACTGTTTGTAGACTATCCACAGAGGAGCTGAGGTTACAGCACCCAGCCTGCCTGACCTGGGCACTGCCCTAAGGAACTCAGCTTCATAGGGTGAAGAGAGAGAACGAACCTGTCCAGCAGTCCTCCCTGTGGGCTTCCCATAGTTTTACTACACAGAATTTCCAGCAGTAAACAATTCATGAATTTTAGGTTACACACCCTTCTGAGGAGTGTGAATCTCCCACCAGCCTGCTCCTTTCGTCCATGGGCGCAAATCGTCTCTTTGTCATGTGCTCATGTCACTGACCTTGCTTCATGTCATTGCAAGGGCATTGCATTGAATAATAGATTTTGAGATGCCTTTTATTATATGTATTGTTACTTTATTAGCTTTTAGTCTTTTACTAGACCGAATTTGCAAAATAAACTTTAAGATATATATACATACAAAGGAAAAGACAGAATATCTAGGATCTGCAGTTCAGGCATCCATTGAATGTTATGGAATATATTGTCTTAAGGATGAGGGGACAAAACAAAATGGAGAGATACACACACACACACACATACACACACAAGTGGTCAGTGGCCATGAGTAGTGGTGATCCCATAGGTTGGGGGTCAGGAATGGTTTTCCAAATTCTGTTGACGAGGACCAGCCTGGGCAAGAGCTGAGGAGCAGATGGAGGCAGGACTGTGCTTAGTGTTTCCACAGCAGAATGGGTCAAGCGGTGAGCTTAAAGACCTGCTCATAGAGGGCCCCATTTTACTGTGATAGGGATCCACTAGAAGATCTTAAATAGGGGAGTGGTCTGATCTGATTCACGTTTTAAAAGACCATTTGGGCCAGTCTGGGAAGACAAGAGTAGGAGCCAGGAGATAGGTGGTGGGGGAGGTGAAGTAGCGCAGGTGAGAGGTGGCCATGGGGATGGTGAAGGTGGAGAGAAGAGGGCAAATTCAAAGGCTGTGTTGGAATGGAGCTGCCAGAGCATGGATGCTTTAGATGTCAGGGGCAGGGAAGTGAGAAGTCATGATGCTATCTAGACTCCAGATCTGAAGTACCCTATGCAAGAGGATGCCACTTAATGGTACAGGACTACCAGAATAGCAGTTTTGTGCTAAGCTTGAGGTCCCACTAGACAGCTGGGTGATAGCCACGAGGTGTGTGTAACCTGGAGGGCCAAGTAGAACAGACAGGGAGGTGTGTGCTTTTGGGTGTCATCGCTGGAGACTTGGGTCTGAGGGACTCTGTGAGTACTGTATGTGCAACTGAGGGCGAGGAGCCACCTTGATCTGAGCTCTGATCTTCCTTTTCCTCAGTAGCCTTTAGACTTATGGTGAGATTGTCTGGCCCACTGTGATTAAGAAGCTGGTTAAGATACTATAATTCCATCAGGGAGTTCCTGGGCTTGAGTTCTGGCTTCTGATCCCAGTCCAGCAGGACATATGATGATCCAAGTAGCTGAGTCACTGCCACCAAGTGGGAGACCTAGTTTGAGTCCCCAACTTCATTTAGATAATGAACCAGCAGATGGAGTGTACTCTCTCTGTCTCTGGACTGCCTTTAGCCTCTCAATCTGGAAGTTGCTACTTTGTGTCCTCACCGGCCAGACTGTATGTTCTTATTCGGGTTGATTCATTTTATCAACCCAATTAATGCAGTGTGTAGAATCCTATGAACATCCTGAAAATGTGCTGTCACAATGAGAGTGTTGGCAAAATGACCTTATATGTGACTGATATGACTGACGCTGCCCTTTCCATGTCTCTGCAGCACTGGTTAAGGTACAGTTGCCAACACTGTGTTTAGACACAGGACAGCTGCCCAGATGAGATGCAGGGAGCAGCAGGCCGACCAGCATATAATTCTGTTGCTTGAAATGTCCCTTGTGGGACACAGGCAGGGTGATGTATCAAAGACATAATGTGGGGAGGCGGGCATTGATGGCATGTGTTTCCTTTCCCTCCCATGCAGGATTATGGTGTTATCAAGATTTCCAATCGTGAAATCAGAGCATCACCTTCTTCCGTCACCAGAGGGCGAGATCGCACCAGCCATCACGCTGACTGTGAACATCTCCAGCAAACTGGTGGATTTTGTTGTGACTCACTTTGGGAATCACGAGTGAGTCTCTTTGGTCTCTCATTTAAATAGTGGTCAAGAAGTAGTCTTTAACTGGTCACTTTTTTTCCTATGAAATAATCTTTCTTTTTTATTTTCTCCTGAAGTATTTTCCCTATATTGCTGGTTTGAAAACTTAGACACAGGAGCATTTGAGATGAAGGCAGTATGGTGATGGGCTGTGTTAGCCCACTGTTACTTAATGCACTAGTTCTCTGTGCAGATGCTGTGTGAGTTGCCTCATGGTACTTAGCCTTTCTGTAAAAGGTAAGTACTATTATTGTCCCATTTACAGGTTTAAAAAACCAGGCAGAGAGAGAGAGAGAGAGAGAGAGAGAGAGAGAGAGAGAGAGAGAGAGATTCAATGACTTGCCCATCCATGTTCATACAGCTGGGAAGCCAGCTGCAAGAATCTGGGTTTAGGGAATAGTCGAATATACTCCCCTCCCCTTTTCACTTTGTGCTCCAGCCCAGGCTCCAACCTGGCTGTCGCTGATAACCTCTAGGCAACATGGACATTTCAAGAATAAATGACAGGGCAGGTTTTTGGCAAAGCAGCTAAGACAGTGGTTTATACACCACTTGGGATGTTCTTACACTCCATGTCGGAGTGCCTGACTTCAAGTACTGGCTCTGTTCTGCTTCCTGCTATTGTGTGTCCCTGAGGAAGCAGGTGATGGCACAAGCAGTTGCATCCCTGCCATCATGTGGGAGACTGGGGACCCAGCTTCTGACCTGGCACTTCTGGCTGGCCCAGCCCTGTGTGTCGTGGACATTTGGATAGTGAACCAGAAGCTCGGAGTTCTTTCCCTTGTCCTTCCTTCTTCTCTTTTTAAATCTCTGCTGCACCCCTCTGCTCCTTTCTTCTCCCATCTTCTCAATTTATTTATTTATTTGAAAGGGAGTTATAGAGAGAGAAGAGAAAGGGAAGGAGGGAGGGGGAGAGAGAGAAAGATCTTTCATCTGCTGGTTCACTCCCCAATGGCCACAATGGCTGGGGCTCAGCCAGGCTGTACCTATGAACCTGGAGTTCTGTCTGGGATTCCCACACAGGTGGAAGGGACCCAGGCACCCATGCCATCTTTCTTTGCTTTCCCAGTGGGGTGCTGGGAACTACCATCTTCCACTAATGTGCCAAGGTAGTGAACACAAAGGAAAAGGAGAGGTACCTGATACATGTTCTGCAGGCCTTTTAGAGCAAATGGACTTTGACCAAACACACAAGCAGGTTTACAAGAAGGGTGACATTATAGACATTGAGGGAATGGGGCCTGTTCAGAAAGAGAAGCCGCATACATGCTACCATGGCAACCCTGAAAGAGTCTACTATGCTACCCAGCATGCTGTTGGCATTATTGTCAACAACCAAGGGCAAGATTCTTACCAAGAAAATAAATGTCTGTATTGAGCATATTAAACACTCTAAGAGTTGAGACAGCTTCCTGAAACATGTGAAGGAAAATGGTAAGAAAAAGAAGGAAGTCAAAGAGAAAGTACCCAGGTTCAGCTAACACCTAGCCTGCTCTGCCCAGAGCAGTCCATTCTCTCAGAACCCATGGAAAGAAGCCTGGACTGCTGGATCCCTCTCCCTATGAATTCATGGCATAGTAAGCGCAAAAAAAAAAAAAATACTAGTAAAATGCCTCTGGACTGTAAAAAACAAGCTGGCACCACAGGTGGTGACTTAGTCCACTGTGCCACAACACCAGCCCCAGGGTGGGTATCCCTCCTATCTGCCTATCTCTGTTTGCCTTAAAATATATACAATTTTAAAAAGAATAAAACTTGCAGGAAAAGAACAAACTAAATGAAACAGTCCCCAGGAAAGAGGAGAAAAAAATGGCCTTTTCTTTCTCCTTGCCACCAGCTGGGTACTTTCTGAGCCGTAGTTTATCCTTTGCTAGACAAGGCCAAGGTGCGAGCAGTAGCAGTGGACGTGTTGTTGAGGGGGTAAGCCATGCTGCTCTGAGATCTAGAACCAGACAATCTGGATTTAATACTCATCCAGTCATTCGTTATGTGTCCTTCACCAAGTTGTTTAACTACAACCAAGTTGTTTGGTTTCCTTACCTGGAACATAACTGTGGGGTTCTTGTAGACTTTAAATGAAATACATAATCTCATAGAAGTATAAGCAATGCTCATTTACAACTGGCTATTGTTCAACCAAATGAGATGGTTTCTAATATGTGGCACCTGGGGCAGCTGAGAAAAGAATATATTTGTCAAGCATGGTGACTTATCTGTAGTGTCCCAGGCATGGAGATGGATACCCTCTCTGTCGATCCCTGGGAAGCACCACTCCGTGTGTCACTCTGTAATGTTCATGAACACTGGGGCCTCCCAGCAGGTGACTTTGCATCATTACACCTTTGGTTTGCTTTTGTGTACTGCACTACTAGATCAATTTACCATGAATAAATATTTAGATATTTTGTTTCCCAATCATTATGGCACACAAACTGAAAATCCTGTTAGGAATGAAGTAAAGAATGTTTATGTATATTATTAGCTAATTCAACACAGCTTTTAAAATTAATGACTATATAGATATCTCTTTTATGACCAGTAAGTGGGAATTAGCAGCATTTCTTAAAAGTCATGTAGCTAAATATTGTAACAGAAATTGATATTGTTTAGGTCATTAACTGAGCCACCGGTCAGCCATCATTTACAAACAATGTATTACGTGCAACATGTACATGAAGGAAGGAACACAGAGTCTGTTGTCAAGGGGCCTGCAATTTAGCTTTGGCTGTGTTGCAGGATAACCTTGGCCAGTTGCCATTCTCCCTTCAGTGAAAACAGGATATAATATTCTTTGCCAATTCTCATCATAGAAGTATTGGGATGATTAAATATTAACAGATACAAAAATATAAGATATGCATATTTTCTTTCTGTCTCTCCCCAAACCTCTTCCTATGTCTATTCTTTTTAACTGGATTGTTTTCATGAGATTTATCTCCCAAGAAGATGTAAAACCAAATCCACGGACTATTTTCCTGTAAGATCATACTAGGATATGTTTGGATGGAAGCATATCTGTGGTGCGGTTGCCTTGGAATGTTCCACATCTGGATTTATAGCCTAGTCACGAGTATTGGAGGAAACAGAATTCACTGCACACTGAGTGAGAGGGCTACTTGCCAAATGTTGGAAGGGTCCAGGAAACAAGTAAGGGATGCTGAGGTATGTGGACAGTACTGACAGGGGCATCTTCACCAGCCTTAGGAGGAAGGAAATCATGCCCCCAGAGCCCATTTAGACCTGGCACCAGAATGCAGCCACTGGCAGAGGGACTGAGGAAGAAAGACCCCAATCTTGCTCTTTCCTGATCTTTTAATCTGCTGGTGCCTCTAAATGGCCAGCCCTAACTGGAAATCAGCACATAAGGGGGCCCAGGAGACAAAATCTTCAGGGGTCAACCTCCCAGGGCATAGAGAAAGGCAGAGTGGATTTAGGGAGGAGAGTGGAGAGTAACTGTAGGCAGCATCAAACCCACTTGATGCCTGTAGGGATTCTGTGCCAAAGATGTTTAACAAATGGTGATTGTATCTGCTCTCATATTTCTAAGACCTCTTCTAATAGCACTCACTGTTTACACAACATAAAGGATCTCCCAAAAAAATCATGGAAATGCTCAGTATGGAAAAGACTATGGATGGATTTTGATAATTTTTTTTGCAATAAAATAACCTCACCTTTTAATTTCAGCTTTCCACAAGCTTTTTGAAGTTTCCACGTATTTCCTTTCCTCTCTCTGTGCTACCTCTGGTGTCTTTGGCAGCAGGTAATAGACTGTGTCTCTAGATCTTCCTTGATGGCTCCAGCTCCTTCAAGGTTACCATGATTGTAGCCCTGTCCCCTGCCAGCCAGTGCTGATTTTTCTAGACTCTGGCGATATCATCTCTTCTTGGTATCCCTCCAGAGGTGGTACTAGTGTCTCATTCTTACTAACCTGTGGTTGTTTCACTGACTGCTCTTTGGCTTCTTGTCACCTATTTCACAGGTTCTCTATGTCAAATTCACTTTTTTTGAGACACCTCAGGTATTTCATTTTGCCTGATTGGATCATGTAAAATATAACCTCCTGTTTTCCCCAATCTGATTTTGAACCTTGCAAAAGCTTGAAGAACCTGATTAATGATCTCAATTGGATGTCAATAGTGTGTGGCATGAAACAAGTGCCATGATCCTATAGTGTCTGAGAAGGAGAGTCAACTTTCAGAAATTTTTCCATGAAAAGAATTGTCTGATCTCGGAAGAAAGAAGTATGCATTATGTGTCTGGGATGCTCATGAATGTTGTGATCCTCCTTATCAGTATTCCAGGATTTTCTTTGTTTGACTACTGGTTCATTAGCTGTACTCAAGTCCTACATCATTTATAAAATTTCTTCTGATGGAAAATGAAGTCAGTACTGCATTTAGAATACATATTTCAATCAACTTGACTCCAAATAATCTGTAAGCAAAGATTGTTCAGTCACAATTTTATCACCCTATCCAGTTGGAATATTATCCATGTTTGTTTCATTTGTGTACTATGAAGACATTCTTCTAGTAGGAATTAATCTAGATTAGTATATACTGTGAAGATATTATTTGGAAATGTAAGCACTTAAGACTTGCAAAATTGTTTTCAACTGATTTTTTGCATTCTTTTTAAAGAGATGATCTTGACAGGAAACTGCAGGCTATTGCTGTTTCAAAGCTACTGAGAAACAGCTCCCATCAAGTGCTATTTCTGGGCTACATCACTTCAGCACCTGGCTCCAGAGATTATCTACAGCTCACTAAACATGGCAATGTGAAGGTAATACAATCTCAATAGGATATATGGCTTTCTAAGTAAAATGCTTCTTTTTCTCTCCTGTAGGAAAAATAAATTCACTATCCCAACCACTTAATATATATTCTGATTTTCAGATTCTCCACAGAAAGCAGCAACAAAGCATACTGTATTAAAACAGCAGACATTAAGTATTTGCTTACAGATCTGCAGTTTAGACAGGAGTCAACAGGAACAGTTTATTTGTATTTCATCCAGGAGCAGCGAGGGGCTTCAGCTGGTCATTGAAGAGTCCTTTTTGCAGGTGATTCTCAGAAGGAAAGTTGGTGTTTGGGGCTTGAGATGTTGGTGTCTCTGTGTGGGCTACTTGGGCCTTCGTGGCAGCTGTGTTCCAGGAGTTCCCTGAAAGAATCAAAAGTCCCTGTGTTGCCTGCTAGGGTTTACTCTGTAAGTTGTTCCATGTCACTGCAAGCTTTATCATTTGGAAAAAGTAATCCCACCTCTTGGGAGAAGGAATATTAGGAATATTAAAGTCACATAAAACCATAATATGACTTTGTTAGATATTGTAGCTGTGCATGGGAACTACAACCTGCCAAATCATGTAAATTAATTTTGATGTTGAGAGTAAAAGACACAATGAAAGGTCACAAAGGGAAATTGGTGTATCAACCACATGGAATCTCAACAAATGAATCCGAATTAGCATTTACCTTTTCAGGTTTAAAACACTTGAATTTGTCATTGTACTCAGATATAAACATGCCCTGGGGAAGTGAAATATAAATAAAATCCTTAGAAGACTGATCTATACACTAGAATGTTAAATGCACTAATTTAAAATGAGAAATGTAATTGTAACTATATTTAGTTTTTTTTTTCATTTTTGAGCTTCATATCTAGTATATGCAGGGAAAATGCCCTTTAATGCTGATTTTACTACATTAACTCTCCTTAGAGTGTACCGTTGCTTACTGAGTGGTGTGAAAGACAGGTGAGGTACAGAATGACATAATGGGGGTTTTCTATAAGTGATAGAGACACAAGTAACATGGTTTATGTAACAAAGAAGTATAGTTGTTTATGTAGAAGTCTAGACAGGTAAATTCATGGTGTCTGGAATCTGTGCTGTTTTATCTGTGGTTCCATCTGACATTCCCAAGTTTCGTTCCCAAGTTTGCCGTGGGGTCCAAGTTGATGGAATCTCTGTTCTAGTTGGCTCCATAAAAGAAAGAATCAAGAAGGTTAGGAACATGTGCAAGTTATGGCTAAAGCCAAGTTCCAGAAAACTGACCTTCAACTTTCATGCTTACACTTCATTGGCTGGAATTTAGCCATATTGACACACCTTGCTGTTTGAAAAGCTGGGAGGTACAGTGTTTGATCTTGTTGGCCATATACCCAGCTAAAGATCCTTTAATATTGGAAATGGAGCAGGGTAGATATTGGGAAGACAAATTAATCTGAATTCATGGCTAAGGCAGCAAACAGTCCTTCTGAATTCCCGATTTGGCTCCAGAGTATATATGGTGGTGATATTTGTTATTATAGGGAATACATTAGGAAGAAGGTAAATTCAACTTTGGGGTGAGTTTGAGGCATCTGTAGGACATTAATGGAAATGTCCAAGAGGCAGGTGGATTGGTGGATCTGAAATTCAAAAGGTGATCAGCAGTAGTGATGTGAGTTAAAGGGTTGCCGCTATACAGATGAGCACTGAAACTCTGGGGCATGAGTAATATTGCTGTGGGGTTAGGGAAGTACAAAAGCAAGACTAAAGAAAACTTCCCAAAAGGCCACATTAATTTGGCTATCATGTGTGTGGTGGGTATGGGAAGAGAAGACCAATTATCTAGGGAAAGAGCTTAAGGAGACTTCTGAAGAGTCACAAGAAAAGGTGGAATGTATATTATGTATCCAGGCTATATTAGCTTTTCAGCATAGTAGAAAAAAAATCCCTCAAAATGTAGTGGTTAGAACTGTACCATTTAATGTTTTTGGGTTTCATGAGTTGACTTGGATGACTTTCCATTCTTGTCTGCATGTACTGATACAGTCAACTGGTAGCTCTGCTGTGGCTGGATGGGCCATGATGGTTCCAGTCACCTGCTGGGGCCTTTGATTATGTGTGTGTGTGTTTTTAAATGTGTGTGCATTAAAAAGTGTACAGTATGTATTTGAAAAGAAGAATCTTATTTGATTTTTATTTAATCCTTTGTTGGTTTCTACTATCATGGACAAGAGCTGTACCAGGATTGGAAATGGATTCTGACATTGTCTTGTTTATCAGAAAGTTTATTAATGTGGAGAGGAGTTTTATCATAAATGCTTAGATGTGAACAGATTTTTCCCTGTAAGAAATGAGCACTTAAATTCTGAAGTGTTAAAAATTTGACAGCATCTTTGTAAAGCCTAATAAAATAAAATGGTAGTTAAACAGATTTATAGTTTATTACTCCCAGTATATGCAGATGAATGACTAAATTTGTGTTCTTCATGAGGTAAACTAGAACTTTATTTCTTTATTTTCTCAACATTAAAGATTTTAATTAAGAATTTAAAATGTATTACACATTTTTATGTATACTCAAGGAATATATGTAATATAAATCATAATGAAGATTATGTAATAGTCCACGTGTCTAGCCCCAAACATAAGAAACATATTTAAGAAGTGGATAATAAGTTGTAGTGTGTTTATGATTTTTTGAATGTTTTAATTGGATTTTAATGGTGAAAATGATTTTTTAAAAGTCAGGTCTAATTTTATAGAATGTTTAAAAGGAAGAAAAGAAAATGTTCCTTCAACATTAAGGTTCTGTATTTACAGTTTTCCCCAATTGTAAAGGACTTTATTCCCAAGATTGCCTCAGGGTCCAAGTTGGTGGCGTCTATGTAGAACATAGCTTCATAGAAGAGGGAATCAAGATGTTAGGAACAAGTGCAAGTTATCACTAAAACCATTGCAGAAAAATACATTATAGAAAAAAATGTCTTTGTGTTCCACTTTCCTGATGAAAAATAGCCCTGATTTCAAACATCAAAAAGACCCATGATTGGCTTCAAAATGTGTTTATTTCCATGATTCAATTTAGCAAGCACAGATTGAACACCTGCTGAAGGTCAGGCTTTCTGCTAAATACCAGGCAACCAAGAGTGGCCCAGAGTTGCTCTGCCCAGGAAGGAGAGGGTAGAGACATAAACAAATGACTGTGGCAATGTGGGACCACAACAGAGGATGACCAGTGAAGCTGCAGGTGACCGTGCTTGGGATGAACCAGCAGGAGAGACCCAGGGAGCCAGGGCCGATGTAGAGGTTAGCAGTTGACTGATTCCCGCCCTAGGACAACTTCCTCTTGGTATTCCCAGCATGGAGCATAGGAGCTAGATGGGTACAGAGGAACATCTGTGGATGAACAAGTCATGGGATCTAGAAGGATCTGCAGGAGCCATACAGAGGTGACAGGATGCAGAAGGGCTCAGTTCTCACTGTGGCGGATGTGCATTGGCAGTTCAGACTAGAATATTCTTCCTTTAAACCTTCTCTCTGCTCTTTGCCAGGATATTGACAGCACAGATCTTGACAGGTGGTGTGAATACATCATGTATCGTGGGCTGATCAGGTAAGCACAGGTGTTTGGTTTTTATCTATTATTACTGTGGTCTTTTCCAGAACAAAAAACTTTAAGGAAGAAGGAAAGATTTTTTTTTCTACAACCCACTTACTTAACTTAGTCTCAGCTAGAATGAAAGTTCCATGAGGGCCAGGACTTCCCTTTGTTTCGAACATAGCCCACTACTGAAAAACAGTGCTGCGTGTAGGAGAGATTCAGTCTACATTTGCTTCATTGGGTATGTAAATGACTTAAGCTGGAATTCCTTTTTTTTTTTTTTTGAAGAGCCAAGTAAAAATTAGGTGAATTCTTTGCTGCTCCCAGTTGCTGTATTTTCCCCTCTGAGCTTCTCTGTAGGAACTATTTGTACCTAAGGGCCCTGGAACCCTGGGGAACTGAAAGCTCTAGGCCAAAACAGGATGTGCATTTTTATTTTTCAGACATAGAAAATATTTGATTTTTGACTTGGAAGTGTGGCCGAAAATATATGTATGGTAGGATTTGATTTTTTTTAAGGAAAAAATTAAGCATATACTCCTGTCATTCATACAATCATGTGGAAGCAATATGTCTAGATGGAATAATATTCTTTAGTGCAAAAAGTAAAGTTGGTACTTAGTGAAACATATGAACATACTCCTGAGTTATAGAATAAAAATATTTTCTATGAATATTTAGAGTCATAAGTCAAGCTAATTCTCATACTATACAGTCAAGTTAGAAAGGGGACATTGCCTGAATAATCAAAATGCTCTCTACTAGGTTCCATTATACTTTTATATGATAATACAGTCCTTATAAACTGTTTCTTTTTCTCCTACAGGTTAGGTTATGCCAGAATCTCCCATGCTGAGCTGAGTGATTCAGAAATTCAGATGGCTAAATTTAGGATCCCTGATGACCCTGTTAATTATAGAGACAACCAGAGAATGGTCATAGATCACAGGAAAGTTCCCGAAAAAGTCCATTTCAATCCAAGGTAAGCAAATTCCTTTGTATTGTAGACCATAGATACGTGCTGTCATATCCCCTCACCCTGGGAACCTAAGTATTCCTGCAGAATGAATTGGAAGTTGTATTTGATTCAAGAGGTTCATTCCAGGCAAGGGAGCACATGGTATGGATGATGGCATCTCACTTGGGTTGAAATTATGGCCTTGCTTTCTGGAATGGAGAAATATGTCCTGGCCTCAGCTGAAAATGCTCCTCTGAGCATCACTGTCATCAACTTCATCCTCCATTATCACTACCACAGTAGTCACCATTTGAAGCTACTCTGTCCCAAGCCTCATTCTAGGTGGTTTGTGTGTGATGTCAGTTCATTTATTGGATGGATACTCCTGTGACCCATCCAGCTAAAGAAGCATAGGCTGAGGACCATGTTATGTTGTGAGTGGGAAGCCTGCCAGCACCATGGGATTGTTGTGGTTCTCAGCTTTGACTGCACAGTAGTCACCTTGCCTTAGTCCCATCCCTGACCAATCAGTCAGGGCCTCCTGAGGTGCTACCTTGGCTTTGGCATGTATTTTTGCTTTTATTTATTTGAATGGCAGAGCAAGTGCACATGAGAGAGAAATCTTTCACCCACTGGTTCACTCCCTAGAACTCCACCTTAGCCAGGAGGCTGGGGTGGGGAGTGGGCCAGGCTGAGGGCAAGAACCTGAAACTCCATCTGGCTCTCCAGTGACAGCAATTCAAGTACTTGAGCCACCACCTGTTGCCTCCCAGGGTGTAGATTAGCAGAAAGTTAGGAACAGAAACAAGGTCAGGACAAACCTAGACATTCCGATATGGGATGTGGATGCACCAAGTGCATCTGCCTCCCAAGTCTTGATTTGCTTCCATTTTAGTATTTATCTCACCCCAGGTAAGTGGAATGTGATCCCTGTGGGCTGGCTCCTGGCTCCAGTGCTCTCACTTGCCCTTGGCTGGGTAATTGTGGGTCAGTTTGCTTTTCTACGCCTCCTGTTCCTCACTTAAAAACAGCAGGTAGTGCATACCTGCTAAGGTAATTTAAGTTCTGAATGATATGTGAAGTTCTTAGAAAAGTACCTTGTGACTGCCCAGTGCTGACAAGTAGCTGGAGCAATGGTTCCTAGTATTTGTAGTAGTAAGGTAGAGGTAGAGAGGAATGTTTCCTTTCTTTGGTTTTTGAATTAACATCCTAAATGAAGCTAAAAAAAAAAAAAACCTGGGAAGTTGTTTTTTTCTTCTTAGTTTCCTTATTCTTCATATACCAGGAGTGTGGAGAAATCCAAAATAAAATATTTTTGGCTAACTACAACCTCAGACTGAACCAGACCAACTGTTAAGGGAGCTACATCTGCTTTCTCACTCAGTTTAATTATGAAAATCACAACAACATAAGTAGAAGGGCTGCTTGACTTTAAAAATTGAGAATGAGAATATGTAAGGCCTCCTCACTAAGCGTCTTTGAAGCGTATATGTTGCTATCAAGGGTAGTCACAGGCTTTTACAACAGTTCTCTGGAACTTACCCTAACTGAAGCATGGTCCAGAATCTCCAGTCCTTCCCCTCCACACCCTGGGAACCACCAGTCTGCTTTGAACCTATGAGTTCAGTGTTTTTAGATTCCTTGTGTGAGAGCCTTCAGTATTGATCATTCTGGGCCCAACCTTCATCACTTGGCAGAATATTGTTATTGTTCAGGAGCACCCTGATTGCCGTAAATGGCAGAATTTTCTTTTTCATAAGGGATTAATATTTGGTTGTGTCTGTGGGGGCCACATCTTCAAAATTCATTCGTCTGTCGGTGGACACATAGGTTGATTCCTTTTTCTTTTTGTGAAAAACACTCAAACATGGGAATACAGAAATGTCTTCAAGACGTATTTAATTTCCTTTGGATGTATACCAAGAAATAGGAAGGTGGATCTTACAGAAGTCTGTTTTTAGGATTTTGAGGACACAAAATACTATTTTCCACAATGACCGTACTGATTTACATTCCTACAACAGTATACGAGGGTCCCTTTTCCTTCACATGCTTGCTACCATGTTGTCTTTTTTTGTTAATAGCCAGTTTGTCATTTTATGTCAATTTAATGTTAATTCTATGCTGTGTTCTAGTAAAAACAATGCAGATTCTGTGTCCTTGGCTCCAGTCAGCCACAGGTGTGAGGCAATAGCTCGTTGTGACTTTAATTTACATTTTTGCTATTTAGTGACTTGAAGCATTTTTTTATGCACTTGTTGACCATTTGGATACCTTCTTCTGAGAACATGTATTCAGGTCCTTTGCCCATTTTTAAGCAGTTTATATGTTTTCTTTCTTTTGTTTGAGTTATTTTAGTTCCTGGCATATTTTGGATATTAAGCCCTTATCAGATATATGCTGTGTAAATATTTTTTTCCATATGGGCAGTGTCTTCACCCTGTGGATTGTTTCCTCTGCTTTTTAGTTAGATGAAATTCCATTAGACATTTTTACTCTCATTGCCTGTTCTTTGGTGATCATACTAAAAAATTACTACCCAGACCATGTCAAGAAAGTGTTTACCAATGTTTTGTTTTATTTGTTTTGCAATTTCAGATCCCATGTTTTAACTTTTAATCCAGTTTTATTTTATTGTTGTATATAATATGAGGTCAAAATTTAATTCCTTTGCTAAGGGATACCCAGTTTTTTTCTTTCATGACATCTATTGAAGCACAGTCTTTCCTTCAGTGCGTATCGTTGGCACCTGTTTTGAGAATCAGTTGACTTTGGATATGTGGAATTATTTCTGAGCTGGCTACTCTGTTCCATTGGTCTGTGTATCTGTTTTTATGCCAGTCCCATGATTGCAGTGTATTTTGAAATCAGGCATGTGGTGTAATGTCTCTTGTTATGTTCTCTTTGCTCAATACTTGTGAAACATATCATTAGAATTCTGATGAGGTGGTTCTAGAAGGTATGGATATTTTAGCGATAATTACTCCTCCAATCCATGAACACGAGATATTTTCCATTTATTTATATCTTTTTCAGTTTTTTCATCAATATTTCCTAGTTTTCAGTTTGTAAGTCTTTTACCTTCTTGTATAATTCATTTTGGGGAGATGTCATTGTAAATTGGATTATCTTCCTGACTTCTTTTTACATTGCATTGTTCGTGTATAAAAATGCTATTGAGTTTATATGTTGATTTTTAAATCCTGAAACTTTACTAAATTTATTAACTTATTTCTGACAGATTTTTGGTGGCATTCCTAGGATTTTCCATATATTTAGTCACGTCATTTGCTAACAGAGACAGACGATTTTACTTCTTCCTTTATAATTTGGATATCTTTTCTTCTTTTTTCTTGCCTGATTGGTCTGGTAGTACTTTTTTGTACTATGGCACAGATAGTTATTGTCTTGTTCCTGATGTTGAAGAAAAAGCTTTTCAGTTTTTCCTCATTTAGTACGATGTTAGCTGTAGGCTTGTCATATTTAGTATTATCATATTTTAATATTATATCATATTATCATGAAGTTAGCTGAAGCCTTTATTATGTTGAAGTTCAACAGTTCCTATGCCTGCTTTGTTGATAATTATTATCTTCATAAAAGGTTGAATTTTGCTTGGTGCTTTTTTTCAAATGACATTTTCCTTCATTTTGTTAACGAGATATATCACACTGCTGATTTATTGTTGCAAAGATGTTGAACCATCTTTATATCCCAGGAGTAAATCCCATTTAATCTGGTATATAATTTTTTCCAATGTGCTGTTAATACTAGTTTTCTAGTTTTTTTTTAAAAAGATTTTTGGTGTCTGTAGTCATAAGGAATATTGCTCTCTTCTTTTTCCTCCTTCCTTTCTTTCTGCTTGTCTTTCTCTTTTTTGTGGTGTCTTTGTCAGGATTTAGTATTAAAGTGATACTGGTTTGGTAAAATGAGTTTTCAAATGCTTCCTTCTTTTTGATTTTTAGAGAGTCTGGAAAAGGTTGTTTTTAATTTTTTTGAGTGAAATCATCATATCCTTATTCTTTTTTTGGCTATTAATTTAATCTTTTTAATCATTTCTGGACTATTCAGATTTTGTATTTCTTCGAGACTCATTCTTGGTGGATTTATTTTCCTATGAATGTTTCTCACATCTTATATAGTTTGTTCACATAAATGTATACATGACTATCTCTTACAACTTAAATTCTTTTTTTTTTAATTTTTCATGACACAGTACCGTAAGCTCAGGAATCTCCCCCTTCCACCCTCCTCATTTCTCTGTATACCACTGATGTCCCATGTTTTATTACAGTAGTATAATCCATCAGCAACAGTCACAAGTCCATCATTCTGCTGTTTAAGTGTATCATAACATTGGAGGTATAGGCAATGGTAGGAAGTCCAACATCCTATTGAAGAGATATATTTAACAGTTTCAATGGGAATCTATTTTTTATTCTGGAGTAGAGATGTATACTGCAATGTATCTTCACTTCTTGGTATGCTAGTCTTTGTTATACAGTTCATGTAGATTTTTATGATTTTTTTATGTTTCCAATATATCAGATGTAATGTCTCCTTAATTCAAAATTTTACTTAACATTCTTTTACTTAGTACAGCTAAAGGTTTATGAGTTTTATCTTTTTAAAACAGTCAACTGTTAATTTCATTGATCTTTTCTGTTGTTTTTCTGTCCGCTTTTATTCTATATTTTTTCTTTCATTCCTTAGACATAGTTCCTATTTTCTAAGTCCTTAAGGTATAAAGTTAAGTTGTTTGGAATCTTTTCCCCCTTATCTAACAGATATTGAGTGCCATAAATTTTCCTCTTGAAACTGCTTTTGATGCATTCTATAAGTTTTGCTCTTTTGTTTCCATTTTCATTTGTATCTAGATGCTTTTTGATTTTCCTTTTGGTTTCTCCTCTATTGGTTTCTCAGAAGTATATGGTTTAATTTCCACATAACTTGGACATTCCAATTCTCTTTTAGCTATTGATTTCTATTTTCATACTATTGTAGTTGAAAAAGACACTTTGTATGATTTCAGTATTCTTGAATTTGTAAAATGTGTCTTGTGACCTAACATAGTATCTATCCTGAAGAATGTTCCATTGATGTTTGAAAGAAATGTGTATTCTGTTGCTGTTGAGTATTGTTTTCTATATTCTCGTTCAACCTACTTTGTCTATAATACTGTGCAAACCCATTGTTCCCTTTAATAGTTTTGTTCTGGAAGAGTTCTACATTGTTGAAAGTGTGGTAGTGAAGACCTTTATTATTATTACAATGCTGTGAAATTTCTCCTTTCTGTTATGTTAATATTTGCTTCATACATTTAGAACCTCTAGTGCTGGGTACAAATTACTACAGACTATGGATAAATTAATCCCTTTATTAAATGAAGGGATTTCAGGAAATTTGTGGAAAATGGAATTAAAGAATGAGTTTATTGTGGCTATGTGCTGGTAAAGCTGCCATCTGTGATGCCAGTGTCCCATATGGACACTGGTTTGGGTCTAGGCTGCTCCACTTCTGATTCAGCTTCCTGATAATGACCTGGGAACACTAGTGGAAGATGGCCCACGTGTGTGAATCCCTGCCACTGTTTGGGAGACTCAACATTGGTCTGGCCCAGTGCTGGTCATTGTGGCCATCTGGGGATTTACTTTCAAGATTAGTAAAAATAGGTGGTAATTTGGTCCTCTCATTTAGCAATGGGTTGTTCATTGATTTAGTCTTCTGTTGTTATTTTACTGGGATATTCTTCACATTTGCCTTTGGTTTTGGTGGGTGCTATTCCTTTTCTGTCCAGAAAACATTTTTAAGTATCATTTGTAGGGCAGGCTTAGAAGAGGCATACTGTTTTAACTTTTCTTTATTGTGGAAGAATTGACCAAGAGCAAAAGAAGAAACAAAGGCACATTGAATATTACTGAAGACATGCCTGCAAAGGAGCAAAAGCCTTTGCCAACTCCATGGTTAGCTGAGGAATACATTGAGAAAATGGGGGATACAGAATTCAGAACACTTGTTATAAAGCTTCTTTTCAACAACGAGAAGCACATACAACACAGCATGCAGCAACACTGAAACAAAATCAAGCCAAATTATTGGAAATGAAGGATGCAATAGAGCAAATTAAAAATTTAATGTAAAGTCTTAATAATAGAACGAAGAAGGCAGAAGAAAGTCTCTCAGAATTGGAAGATATTTCTTGTCATAATGGGGAAACAATCAAAAAGCTGGAAGCAGAGACTGGGTTAAGCTTTAAAAAAGTGTTCAAGAATTAAGAGACACTATTAAAAGGCCAAATATAAGAGTTATGGGAGTTCAGAAGGTGCAGAAAGAGAAGCTGGGTTTAAAAATATATTTAATGAAATAATGAAAGAAAATTTCCCTAGTCTGGAGAAAGAATTGGAAAACAACATCCAGGAGGGACACAAAACTCTCAATAAGACTTACCAAAAGCATTCTTCACCACAACACATGATAATCAAGCTCTCTTTATATGTGCACATATAGAGGAATGGCAATTAAATTCACAGCTGATCTCTCACAGGAAACTCTACAGGCCAGAAGAGAATGAAGCGACATTTTCCAGATTCTAAAACCCAAAAATTGTCGACCCAGAATAACTTACCCAGCCAAGCTTTCCTTTGTCTTTGAAAATATAATTTCAACTTTCAAATTATAAGGCTTGAGTTCATGTTCAGAACCAGAAATCCACAGAGAATAGAGTTCAGCTTAAAACAAGTTTTATTGGGAGTGCTCCCAGGCAAGGTTCACTGGTCTGATACAGACAACAGGCCAGGGAAGTTGTGTCTAGGGGAAGTAAGGAGTTGTTTTTATTAGGGGGCTGTAGAGGTGGGGGTTGGAGGACAAAGGAATGTACTTTATATGGTGCAAGAGTGTTGTAGGCTCTCCTTGACCTTACTGAGTCTGATTGTCACTGCTGCCAAGGAGGGAGTTGCCTTCTCCCAGTGTGGCCTTATCAGCCACCCTTCTCAGCCTCCTCCTAGCCTGCCCCTCACCCACTTCGGCTGGGCCTTACAGAAATAAATATTTTTAAAATGAATAAATCTATTTCTGTGCCCAAAATTCTGAAATCTGTGCATACCTGGTATCTTCAAAAAGGGGCACACCTGGAGCCTAGTGTTTAAGATATTCAGACCTGGGTTTAATTCCTGCTCTGGCTCCTGATTCCAGGTCTCTGCTGAGGCAGATGGAGCAGCAGCAATGATGGCTCAAGTCACCATCAAAGAGAGAGAGAGAGAGACAAGAAAGGGACAGAAAGTGAGAATGAATTCTATTGGCCAAATGCCTGCAATAGTTGAGACTGGGCCAAGTTGAAAGCAAGAGCTGGGAATGCAATATAGTGTTGGGAAATCCTGTTCTGATATTTTGCTAATTTTACTCTTACATGTATCTATTTATCATAAAATAATCCCAGCTCTGTAAATGTATGACACATACATGTGTGTACATGTTCATTCTCTATGAGAATCTGATATAGCATAGTATAAACTTCCTTTCATAATAGAGTATTTAGGGTAGAAGTTTGGTCTAGCGGTTAAGATACTATTTGGAATGTCACATGCCATATCAGAGTACCTGCTCCCCAAACAAGCTTCCAGCTAGTGTGCACCCTGGAAGGCGGCAGGGGAGACACCAAGTACCAGGTCCCCACCTTCCACATGGGAGATCTAGGTTGAGATCCTGAATTACAACTTCAGCCTGACCCAAACCAGGTCAGTATGTTTGGGAAGTGAACTAGCAGATGACATTTCTCTGTGTGCCTCTTCTGTTTCTCAGACATTTTTAAAACAGAAGAACATAATAGTCTTCTTAAAGTTGCCCAGTAGTGGGCCCGGTGTGGTGGCGCAAGTGGTTAAGGTCCTCGCCTTGCACGCCCGGAATCCCATATGGGCCCCGGTTCTAATCCCGGCAGCCCCACTTCCCTTCCAGGTCCCTGCCTGTAGCCTGGAAAAGCAGTTGAGGACGGCCCAAAGCCTTGGGACCCTGCACCCGCGTGGGAGACCTGGAAGAGGCTCCTGGCTTCGGATCGGCATACCATCGGCCCGTTGCGCTCACTTGGGGAGTGAATCATCGGATGGAAGATCTTCCTCTCTGTCTCTCCTCTCTGTATATCTGCCTTTCCAATGAAAAAATAATAAAAATAAATCTTTAAAAAAAATAAAATTAAAAAAAAGTTGCCCAGTAGTCCATGCATGTCTATACTAAACTTCAGCAGCTTAGAATTTTTGCACATTCCTTCATTAGTATGAAAGATCATCAAGGGACTCTTTTTTTTTTTCAAATATTTATTTTATTTTTATTGGAAAGTCAGATATACAGAGAAGAGGAGAGCTAGAAAGAAAGATCACTGATTTACTCTCCAACTGGCTGCAATGGCCAAAGCTGAACCAATTCAAAGCCAGGAGCTTCTTCTGGCTCTCCCACATGGGTGTAGGGTCCCAATGCTTTGGGCCATCTTCAGCTGCTTTCCTAGGCCACAAGCAGGGAGCTGGATGGGAAGTGGGGCAGCTTGGATTAGAACCATTGCCCGTAGGGGCTCTCGGTACATGCAAGGCAAGGATTTTAGCCTCTAGGCTACTGCATCAGGACTCAAGGGGCTCATTTTAGTGTCTTTGGGCATATTTCTGATTGCTTTCCTAGGATTTGGTCCTAGATATGCTATAAAAAGCAAGATAAAAAATTAGGCAAAATTTTACTATTTCTTTTTTTTTTTTTAATGCTTATTTATTTGAAAGGTAGAGAAAGTGCTTGTTCTTTTCCCAAATACCCACAGTATTTAGTGCTGGGCCAGACCAAAGCCAGAAGACAAGAATTCCATCCTGGTATCCCACACGAGTGGCAGAGACTCAAGTACCTGAACCATTACTTTCTGCCTTCACAGGAATACATTAGCATGAAATTGGACTAGAAGCAGAGTAGCTGGGACTTAAACCCAGCGCTGTGATAGGCAATGTGGATGTGCAAAATAGAGACTTAATCCAGTACCCCACATGTTCAACCTTCTTTACTATTTCTAAATGACAAAGTAAATACATCACCCTTGTCCCACACTGGAGGGACTAGTTGAATATCATAGTTGCGTGGAAAGGCAATGACCTCACTTGCTTAGGTCTTCGTTTCCTTTCCATTGCTTTTTTGTATTGCACCATAACAACCACAGCTGTGTAATTAATTATTCACCAACAAAGAATTAATTTGCAGCAACTGAGCACTTGTTGAATATCTAGTACTTTTGTCTGCTTATGTTGTGTATGCACAAATATGCCATAAATAGCATTTCTGTTTTCCTTTGCCTAGGAATTGGATATTATCCAAACTGAATGCTAAAGAGAATTGAAACTTTTTTTCCAGCAGCACTGTCAGCCATCAGTTCTTGAACAGTTGGCACGTTTGAATGAGGACTTTGGAGGTTAAAATTCTAGAATTCCTTTCCCTGTTTTATAGATTGGTCACATCAATCCTGACTTTACAATATTTAAATAAGCTCACAATAGTGATTGGTTGAGATTTTACGTAGGAACATATCCTTCTGAATTTTTTTACATGTCAATTACTTTTTGTTCTTTTTTCTAGATTTGGATCCTACAAGGAAGGACACAATTATGAAAACAATCATCATTTTCATATGAATACTCCCAAATACTTCTTATGAACTATTTAAAACCAGAAGTGGTTGGCTAAAAATCTAAGGGAAAATATACAAGAAGAGTTTAATGACAATTGGACAATGTACTCAAAGAACCTCAGCCTTCAAAAATATGGTATCTATACAGTATAATTCTATCACTCTATAAAATATGTCCTTCAATAAAAGCATTCCTCCAAATTATTTTTCTTAACTTTTTGATAAGTAAAAGTAGGATATGGGATAATATAACAGAGTTATACCATGGAGCAAAAAAGGCTGGCATTGTTGTGTAGTATATAAGCCTGCTGCTTACAATGTTGGCATCTCATATGGTGCCAGTTCAAGTCCGGGCTGCTCCACTTTCAATCTACATCCTTGTTTATGAACCTGGGAAAGCAGCAGAGGGTGCACCCATGTAGGAGACACAGATAAAGCTTTTGGTTCCTGGCTCTTGCAGCTGTTTATAGAGTGAATCAGCCAATGAAAAAATCTCTCTTCTTCTCTCTCTGTAACTCTGACTTTCAAAACAAAGAAATATCTAAAAAACAAAAAAAAGATAAGATAATGAAAAAGTCTGAATTTTTTAATGCTTGAAAATATGAAATTGGGCCCGGCGCGGTGGCGCAAGTGGTTGAGTCCTCGCCTTGCACGCCCGGGATCCCATATGGGCACCGGTTCTAATCCCGGCAGCCCCGCTTCCCTTCCAGCTCCCTGCCTGTGGCCTGGGAAAGCAGTCGAGGACGGCCCAAAGCTTTGGGAACCTGCACCCGCGTGGGAGACCTGGAAGAGGCTCCTGGCTTCGGATCGGCATAGTATCGGCCCGTTGCGCTCACTTGGGGAGTGAATCATCGGATGGAAGATCTTCCTCTCTGTCTCTCCTCTCTGTATATCCGCCTTTCCAATGAAAAAAAAATAATAAAAATAAATCTTTAAAAAAAAAAAGAAAATATGAAATTAACTGATTAGTGAATTGGACTATTTAGGAAAGACTAAGCATCCTCAAAGCCTTCTTGGGACAGAGTGGGGAAGACATGTTTTTTAGATTAAATCTAATTCTTAGAAGAACAGTGCATGTGTGATTCTAATTGAATGATTCAGCCTCACCAGGCGCATCACCATCAATCCAGAATATGATGCATCAATTGTCATCATCTTTCTCATGCTTCCATCACCCCTTGGCTGGCTGTGGCACACTGAGTGTCACCAATCACTCAGGCCACCAGGATCTTGGGGAACATACCTCAACATGCACCTAGATCTCATTGAGTCAATTTTCTTCCCTAGAAACAAATAGGAAAGTTATGGGGAGGATTTAGTCCTCTAGTACCAACTCCACAGGAAATAGTGCTTTGCATGTTGGTTGTGGAGGCATAGAATGTCTTAGAATTGGGCAGAAATCTGAATGCTGTATCATTTGGTGCAGAATGGAAACAGGAAATGAGAGATTTCCCAAAGGTTTGATGTTGCAATCTAAGAGATTCCTTGGGTCATAAACAAAAGTATATCAAGCCATTGCCAAATATAAAACACTACATCCCTGTGATTAAAGCAGTGTATACATAGGGTAGGCATTGGGCCTTCCAGTTAAGACACCTAGTGATTTAAAAAAAAATATTTCTTTTTATTGGAAAGGCAGACTTACAGAGGGAAGCAGAGAGAAAAAGAAAGATCTTCCATCTACTGGTCTGGTTCATTCCTCAAATGGCCACAATGACTGAAGCTGAGCCAAAGCCAGGAGCCAGAAGCTTGTTCTGGGTCTCCTACATGGGTATATAGAGTCCCAAAGACTTGGACCATCTGCTGCTGCTTTCCTAAGCCACAAGCACAGACCTGGAAGGGAAGTAGAGCAGGGACACAAACTGGTGCCCATATGGGATGCTGGCACTTGTAGGTGGAGGATTAGTCAGTTGAGCCAGTGATTTACTTTCACTGAGAAGAAGTGAAACAGATGGCAAACTACCCCATGCTGAGGTAATAAAAAGTATCATGGTCTCTTTCTTAACCTTACCTTTTTGGATCTGAGACAAACAAACCGCTTTGTTGCAGAGAAGGCAGTGAGGCACTGGGGTCTTTTTCCAGCTGTTACAGGACTGAGCCTACCTCAGGTGTGGAACCTCTATTCCCAGTTAATTTTCAGCTGACTTCAGCCTCACTGAGAAATCTTGGCTGTCCTGTTACGGGAGAGCTCGAGTTTGCACAATCTGGTTGAGTTTTTCAAAGTCTTAACAGATACAATTTCATTATTTTAAGCTATTATGTATTGGGTTATTTTGTGAAGTATCAGTGGATAAACAGTGGAGCCCTTCAATCTGCCCATGTTTGAGGAATCTTTAGAACTGGAAAACAACACTTTAATTCTATGTCTGTCACACCCTTTGTCATGTGCTAGGCATGTTGTGGTGGTGAGAGGGATCCCTGAACTGAAAAAGACATGACCTCAAATGCCAAGGGTGGGAGACAGAAAGATTCAAAGAAACACTGAATATAATCACAATTTCCCCATTTTTGAGTTAGGTGCCTTACTAGTGTAGCCTTCTGACAACAGTACTGTAAGGTTGTGCCACACAGATGTCAACTGGGCTGTTTGGATGCTGGCACTCTGAGCAAGACAGCTGGAATCCCCATCTGGAAAGCAGTGTCTTCCCCTGGGATGTCTGTGCATCATGGAATGGGAAGGGGACAAGCTTCCATTCTTTTAGTCGCCTCTCCCAGTGCCGTGTTCCTGTTTATCTGTGGGCTCCTGGTTGCTTTCCTGACACCTGTATAAAGCTACTGTTCCAGGAAAGAAAGCATGAAATGTGTTCGGTCTGGCTGTGGCACCTAGCAGGTGGCTCACTATTCCGCAGAGTTCAGCAGATCCACACACACAGAATGAAGGCTGTCACTATCCTATGGCAAGCACATCACTCAGCTCTTTCCTTGACTTCCTCAAAGCAAAGAAAACTCAAACACTTATATTAAGGGTTTCAGTGAGAGTAGCATATTTTAGTAAAGGCTTGTAAAAAGCAGAAACATTTCTACTATAGGAATGCAAAGCATCTTCACATAGGAAAATTAGCTATTTTCCTGTACAAGTCTTTTGTCTCCTTCACATCATGTAATTCACCTCATTTCCCCCCTTATTTTCTCTGCTTTTCTCTACCTTCTGCACATTTTTGTTAATTTTTAGTGAGAATTTTATCTCTTTCTTGGTGTCCTGCTCATCCATCCAGCTCTTTGCCCCTTACCTCCCGATTCACAAGGCTTATTCAGATGGCAGGTCTTAATACAGCTTCCTACGTAAATGACAGAACAAGCAGAAAGTCTGACAACACAACTAGGCTTCATTTAAGTGACAAATGTAGATTAGTGCACTAAGTGACTTCAAATTACTCTTCCAGTACATGAGGACATTTGCCAAAACAGACCCACAGGCTAGGCCAAAAAGCATGCCTCAACAAGTTTCAAAAACTGACTTAATACAGAGCACATTTTCTTTTCTTTAAAGATTTATTTGTTTGAAAAATAGAGTTGCAAAATGAGAGAGGGTGCCCTTCCATCTGTTGATTCACTCTAATTCATTGGTCATAATGCTCAGGGCTGGGTTTGGCTGAACCCGGAGCCAGGAGCTTCATCCGTATGGGTGCAGGGGCCCAAGCATTTGGACTACTTTTCGTTGCTTTCCCAGGTTCATTAGCTGAGTTGGAAGTGGAGCAGCCAAAACTCAAGCTGGAGCTCTCAGGCAATACCAGCAACTCAGCCAGTGGCTTAACTTGCTGTTACAGAGTGTATTTTTTTTTTTTTGTTACAATTCATCTAAACTAGAACCAAATAAGAGGATAATTAGGAACCCACAAATACTTGAAATAGAATACTAAACTTCTGTGGGTCAAAAAGGAGATTCTAACAGAAATACTTTGAACTGAATGGTAACGAAAATATCTCACATTAACGATTGTGGGCTACAGGCTTGTGTGTGGAAGCAAATGTGTATCCTTAAGTGCATGGATTGGAAAAGAACAAAGACTGAAACTTGATTACCTGAGTACCCAACAGGATAAGTTTGAAAGTACACAGAAAATTAACTCCAAAGAGAAAACAGTAAATAAAGAGCCAAAATTAATGAAATGGAAAACCAAACAGATAAAACTGAAATTTGATTCCTTTGAGAAACTAATAATCACAAAAAAACCCCTTGATTGGACTCATCAAAAAGGAGGGAGAAAAAAGCAAAAAAGCTCAGTGTCAGAAATGAGAAAGCAGAGACCCCAAACATTGTAAAGAAACTGTGATTCATAAATTCACACCAATTAATCTGCTGAAAAAACAGAGGACTACTGATACAAGAAAATATGGGAAAACTGATAAAAAAAAAATCAAAATTTACAAGTATAAAGCATCAGGACCAAACCATCAAGGCCATAGGCAAGAAAAACTGGCATGACTTTTAGTGTGCCCTCAAATACTCCGGTTCGTGTGTGGCTCGTGGCTTGCTCTTGCTGTCCCTTGCCATCATCCCTTCAGACTTCCTGCTCCAGCCCCAGGCCAGGAGCCACCTGCTTTCCAGAGACCATGGAAGCAGCTCCCAGTTCGTGTAAGGGCAACTCTCTGGAGTAAGCACTTGTGCATATTCCGATGGTTCTGCTAATCTTGCCTTATCCAACTTCCTACTGTGAACCCATCTTCCCAGGCCCAGAGAGCCTACCAGTGAATTTTATCGAATATTTAAGGAAGAAATGACACCTGCCTTATAGTGAATAGAAAAAGAGGCATACTGCCAGCGCACCTGGGAAGGCAACAGATAATGGCCCAAATATTGGGAGACCTGGCTGCAGTTCCTGGCTCCTGGCTTTAGCCTGGCCCAGCCCTGGCTATTGTCAGTTGAGAAGTAAACCAGCAACTGGAAGATCACTCTCTTTTTCTCTTTAACTCTCCATCTCTTTGTTACTTCTTCAAATAAATAAATAAAAAGATTTTTAAAGTGCCATGGCAGGTTTAAAAAGAAAATTAAAATGTTGGTTTCTCTAGAATGTATTAGTGAAATTTAGAGTTGAATGAACAGTTTAACCTCAGAATAGACAAATAGTTGGAGGAAATGTATTAACTCAAGATAGGATGGAAGACTCTCCCCTGCTGAGGGGCAAGAAGGGAGAGTTTAATTCAAATGCATCTGTTTAATATTTACCAAGGCACACTCCTTCTTTCACTTGCAATA